ATCAGCTTGTACAGATTGCTATGAAGAAAGAAAACACGACATTGATACATTATTGACAGTTGTTTGATACAAAATTTAATCACAATAAATGGTTACCAAGTGAATTGGGCTGCATACAAAATGCACAATGACAGTGATTGATGTGGGATGACAGAGCAGATTGAGTCACCCCTCCTCTCGCTAAGCAATCACCAATTGAATTTGCTTATCACCAGATGTGTCTGAAGGACACTCAGAGGTCATGTCGCAATTGGAAAAATTACTCGAAGAGGTTCTCCATCCTAACTGGGCAGGAGAGAATATATTTGGTCTGGAAAATTTTGATTAGGCTTTCACCAGATTGTGGGGTGACACGAGTCATTTCCAATTTTATTGCCAAACTCTAACCCATATGTCCTACATCCGTTTCATTCATTCAAAATAACTCTTAAGGTGCGTAGGGACACAATAAAGATCATACCCAAGTTCATCCTTAACTCTAACCTATATGTGCCATGCCCAAAGTGAAATTGTTTTCCCAAATGAAACAAAACACAATGACCAAAGAAACATTTAAACCAAAGCCCACAATGAATGCCAAACCCAGCTCTTGACCAGTTCGTCCATGACATCATTATTACCTAGAGGAATACAAATTGATCCAGGGAGAATGTCCTAATAGTTTTTATTAAATAATAGAGCAGCAGGCAGTCAACGTTCTTCTTGGCCTCTAGACATTAGATATATGCTTGGGAAACATAACCCTATATGTTGGAGGTGGTCTTCTCAATCGATAGCTTGATTTCCATGACGTTTGAGCATCCATGTGTTTCTATTACTACAGCCTTCATAATCTTGCATTGCAGAGTCAATCAATTCAGTAACTCCAAAAACAAACACTAATTTAGCCAAAACAAAAGCCATTATAAATCAGGAAAAAAACTTTGCAAGGAAATTCAAATTGTTAAATTCACATTGCTAGTACAGTATTACTTTTTTCCCGTACTTCCTATCTCTTATGTATTCCAGAAACACAATAATTCAATTTAACAGCACTCATCGGAAGCGACTCCTATTCGTGGGAGTTTCATACCTTCACTCTGTTGAATCTATGATGAATGGTTACAGCTGTGGACACAGCTAAGGCACCAATTGTTGGTTCTTTCCACATGTTACTGAAGCACAAAAAATGGGAACAGTATCAGTTTTCGAGTACAAGTCCATCATAGCCCATAATGATGGCCCCAGGCATTCTGACTTCCACCACAGATATGTACCCCATCATGATTCAGACTGGCCTATGAGATGACTCCCTTCTAACTATTTCAATTAAGTTCATATATTTAATGACTTATCCTAGAACTCTCTTATTACTTCTCCCTTCCCATGCTCTGCAGATGGTGGCCAAAAAATTCAACCTACAAATTCTGTCCTTCTTCCAAGTTGTGCCTCCCAAAATGTGCAACGGACCAAATGAACTGAATCAGGAAGTATCAGTGCCAACTCAAATAGATGACTCATCAAGTAATTTCTAGCCCTGAGTTCACATACTGTGTTATTAGCCATGCGGAAAGATGCACTGCAATATTTGACGATGACCAATTCCTGCAATTTTTCCTTAATGGCTTTCTGAATGTTACCAGTTTGACCATAATCAACACCACTCCAATGCACTGCTCTGGAACATACAAGAGTGTTTCATGAATAAGCATACCACAAGAACTCTTTCCCCCAAACCAATGGAAGATGCATAAACTCCTTTCCAACTATACAATCCTCATCCCCAACAATGTGGGTTAACTCAAATATCACTAGATGGAACAACCGAACAAGTTCTGCAACAGTCCACAACAATACATGCAGATCATATGCTCACTGAGAATTCATCCAGATGACATACGATAGAACATTCTGGGCCACTCATCACCACAGCATCTGTACAGAGACCCTTTCCAACGTCATCTCTTCAATTCTCCATCCCACTGTCCCAACACAAACATACGAGCATACCAACTGCAGCCAACCATCAGCACTACTTCAATGCAAACTTAGTGCGTGATTCCACATCTGATTTCATCAAGCCTTGAGTTTTCCCCTAGTCCAAGGAATCCTGCTCAAATAACTGTCCATTACCTTGTTTTAGAGTACTAAGATCCGCACTCATGCTAGACCCCTAGGGCCACAGGTCCATTGCTATTTAATCATATATAAAGAAAGTGATGGCTGTTTGCTGAGAAATAGAGTTAGAAAGAACCAGCGAAGCCTGAAAGTTGCACTTACATAGTGTAATACACAGTGGCAGCAATCACATATGCATTAATAGCTCCCTTTGGAAATAGTTTCGAGCTGAAATTTTGCATACATCAACTAGACTCAAGGTCATTCCAATTTTCTGATTTTGACAGCAGACCAATGTAACAACATCAAGAACCAGCTCCCTTAATTTCCCTGTCAAAGCAACTCGCAAAATAGTATCAGGGAAGCCAGCTCAAGTTAGATGGAGAAGCCCAGCACCATGTGCTGTTGGACAGTCCCATTGAGCTCAAGTTTGACGGAAAAGCCCAGCACCATGTGCCATTGGACAGTCCCATTATCTTTCTAGAGTCTCAAGCCCATACCAAGGGAGGTTCAAGGCAAAGTCCAACTGGACTTAAGGTCAATACTCCCTCTTCATTAGATGATCAAACAAGTATGATGAACAAGAGTTCCCAGAGCAGACCACAAGATACAAAGCCTACTTGGCCTGAATCTCTTAAGCTCATAAAGTGAGATCACCACATCACTATATAACTTTTAGGAGGCCTCCTATTTGGTAAAGCTACCCTGGTCACCTATTCAGTGAACTAAACTGAACCTTGCATACTTCAGCCTACCAGACTGGTATAGACAGTTTATGCACCCTTACCTTCTAGAGGGTATACAGTTTTACTCGTTTATCAGAATAACTGCGATGAACACTTGTTGGAAACTTCTCTCAGAGCTCAACAGCGTCTAAACTCGTTCAGCCGGTTTCACCTATCACTTTAGTTAAAAGATCACCTAAATCCCCACATCGACCTCTGAATTTTTCAGTGCAATCAGGGATCAATAAATCTGAAGTCTCTCAAGTAGATTATCTACCGTTATGGGTTCTAAGTTGGTCGCGGACTGAACTCTTCATGATTGCTTGTGACACCAATTCGAGGGAAAACTGCATCTTACACAAGGAAAACAGGTGTGGTTTTTATGGTTCTCAAGTCTCAATCAACAAGACTTTCAACAAATGCTTGCAAGTATCTTTTTTCAGCCAAGTCATCTTGAGGGCTTACCAAAGGCCCCTATCAAACTGCACCTTACAGTTAAGGCCAAAAGACCATCCTCCCCTTGGGTAAAGGTGGCTGCCTTTCCAAGTTTAAAGAAATGAGGATTATAGGTTCTTTCCCCAGCCCAAGCAAGTCATTAAGGACATAATGTCCATCCTCCTATTCCTGGCTAGACATTGGTTTTATGGAGCCACCGGGTATGCATAAGCCCTGACTAAGGTAGTCCAGTCCTGTGTGGGCCAGAATATTGCTTGGAATTTACCAACAATGACTCTTAAAACTGACTAAAACATCACATGGAATCATATAATCATCTCTTTTTCAAAGAAATTTAATCTAAAATGGCAAACATGATGAACAGTTATACTAAGGAATAAATAAATAGTAAATTATAAAATGAACAAGAAAAGAGAATTTTAAGGATAAGATTAAGTTGATTAGCAATCCCTTTGAGGTAGATGCAACTAATAAATGGTAATAAAAATAATAATATAAAAATTTGCCAACTCAAACGACTCAAAATAATCAACACATCCATGCAGTCCAACAAGTATGAAAGGAACCACTTAAGATGAGGAAAGCAACTAGTTTGATAGGTGGCCCAAAATTACACACATAATCTGAACTTACATAAAGTTCAAAAGATCCAGAGAATGTTAAGCAATCCTACCTCATATGCAAGCAAAGGACGACAGAGGGAGGAATCGCCATAATGATAACCATATTTATCCAGGAACTTCCAAAAGCCCGGTGGAATCTCTCTTCTTGATGGCAATTTCAGTTCGAGAGAATACGCACCATCTGTCTTCTTAATTTCCTTTACAGATATTGGCGGATATACCTGCAGGAAATATCAACCACCAAGAAGGAACCATAAACAAACAAACCTTGAACTACTAACTTTTGTTGCAACATGCAAGCTAGGTCATCACCATGTCTTAAAGTATCATCATAAATAGAAGTATGGTTTGGACATATAATAAATAAATAAGTATTCTCTTCCATCTGACTTTGAAAAATATGCCACAAGGGTCAATAAAGATAAAAATATTAAGAAGCTGTGACCATGTCCTATTGAATAGCAATCATAATTAATATTTGCAATGTTATTTGTCTGAAACATGCAGTGCCGCTTACATGAAAAGAGCAATTTGATCTAAAACCACAAAAAATAGCACATCCCATAGGTTTGCCCACTGTCAATGCTCTCAAGAACTCCAGCAATCAAAACATCATTAGAGTTTTAAATAACACCGCAATCTCACAAGCAAAACACAAGAGAACTACAAATCCCGGGATGAAACCCCGACAAAATATTGCCTAAAGGTAAAAGTTGATAAAAAAAATTTAATATCACCATTGCATAACCATGCTTACTCCTGTTAAAAGAAAAAATAAATATGCCTAATAGATGGACCTCTATGTTTCAAAGCAAGGAGCAGGTCAAGATTCACTAGGGTCCCAAGCCAGAGTGAGGCAACTCAACTTATGCAGAGTCCTAAAAATGATTAAATTAAAATCATGAAACCAGCCCATGGTTTCAATTCCGGACTCGGCAGCCTTCCGAGTCCAATAAAACTCAAGTGAGACCGAGTTGGACTCGCCAAATTTGCGAATATGGGCTGACCTCTATCATAATATTAGAATTTGCAATTTATGCAAATGACAGTGAATCCATGACCTACAATATAAAAGGAACCAATCAAAGATGTGAATATATAGTATCTACTTTGGCTGAGAAAGACTAGGGAAACCATCCATGAGTATGGACTACCTAGTTTTAGCATAAAGTGTATTCAAAAGTAAATCTGGTACAAAAAATATTTTAATTATTACTAAAATTATCAAGGAAATATATATAGGGCACCCAACAGTCCCTCCCATTCCATTTGTCAACGTCCAGAGAAACTGCCTAATGGTTGATGAACCACCCCCACCTCAACCACCGCCCGCCCCAAAAAAAAAGAAAAGAAAAGGACAAAATTTGATGATGCACATTGGGTTGCAACCAGGTAGCGTGCCCCATTTTCATAAGATATGAGAAGACAGTCCTGGCACATCACAATAGGCTCCTCTTAATTACTAAACCAAGTGAATTGCACCTCCAAGAGGAAGATTGATAAGCTCATAACATCCAGTGAAGTTACAAAAATACTACCAAGGTTTAGGCTGGTCCGCCACTTAGCATCACCAATGTATAGGTGCAGCATTACATTTTGGCTCTATACAGTAGACGCAAGAGGGGTCAGGAGTCCTTCCAAATCAACTGTGAAACATGGACAAAAAGCAATGCATTGAATATCTGCTAGATAGGTTCAGTCATAGTAAAACCATACCCGACTGACCACCATAGGATCCTAACACAGTAACACTTGCACCTTAATGTATAATAACAGTCTATTATCGCCCTTCAAATCAAACCAGAGAGAAAATAGCAAATAACATCATCATGTAGTGGCCAATGGGCATTACCAATAACATACCAGTTTGTCAAAAGGAACTTTATGTTAAGATGCAGATCGTACTCTTGTATTTAGCCTGTGTCATTTGTTAATTAGTTGGACTCAAACCTCTCTAATACCATGTTAGAAACAGCAAAAGTTGGACAGAATTCTCATTGACTAGAATTTGAGATTAGTCCCATGAATATAAAATGGCAGGGTTCTACAAAGTACATAAAGACCTTATACAACTATATGACAAAACAACCCTCAAACTAATTAACAAATTACATAGACTAAAATGAAAAATCAATATACATCTTGAGTCTTAACATAGATCTTCCTGTGATTCCTCACTTAATCCCATGAAAATTAGATTTTTTTTTTGTTTTCAACTATCCTACTATACTATAGATCTTCCTGTTATTCCTCACTTAATCCAAATTTGATTGAAAACCACCTTATACTTTAAGCCATTGCCAAAGTGAACAAAAAAAAGTGATTGCCAAATTATTTCCACTCCTAGCGTAACACAGTTGAAGCAATTGCCAGAGCAACCAAAATATAATTGCCAAATTAGTTCCACTTCCAGCAATTTTTCATCCTATACAGCTATAATAAAACAGATTTGACCCCACACCAAAAGTGTCATCCTCCCACATCTCCCCTTTTCAACAAGGACTTTACCAGCTCGATTCCAACATGCTCTAACTTCATTTCATGAAACATCAACAAATTCATTCCATGCTTAAATCATTGACCACCAACTTCTACTCAGGCCTTCCAAGGGCCCACCAAATTGCACGACAGTATTTTCATTGAAATGAGCTTAAGAGTCCTTTCCCTTCACATTCATGGATGCCACAATCCGTACAAGTATACCTTTCCTGCAGTTATTCAAAGAAATAAGGTTCTTCAATTCGCCAACCCTAGGATCGATCCAACACTGCATTCTCTTCTTTCTATCCTGAAGAGATTTCCATTTCCTGCAAGACACATCAAAGTAAGCTCTAACAGTATATTCCCAACTCTACCCAGTTTCTCCTCCACCCTCTTGGATGCTATTCAATTTCTAAATGTTCTAAATCCCTCTCTATTTCCCGAAGTTATGTGGACTTACTATAACACTCCTCACCTGCTAGGGCCACCCTTCAAACTGACTGGATATAGTTGTTCTACTGCATATTGTGAGTCTTTCTTCCCGTTTAACAAAACAAGAAGCTCCATCTGGGACCACCCACCCATGGGATGCATGATGGGCTCATGCTCTCAAGTCCGCACAAGCATGCTATTCATTCCCTGACTGAATCCACAAACCCCCCCTCATTCCCACCACCACATGTTCTATTGATGCCTCGTGTTCTGGTCTTTCAATTACTCACATAGGCCCCGGTATTGCATTAGCATTGGACATTTCAACAAGTCTTCTTTGACAAAACAGCTTTCTGGTTTCCTAGATATCAGAGCCCAACCATAAATGAACCTCAATCCCACTAGATGAGACCATGGCATCTAGTTCTTCTAAGAGTCCAAATCATAGGCTATTAACCCATCTCTAATCTGGATTCTACCAAAAACCTTGCCCAATTACCACACCTTGACACATTCCCTCTAGACCCAAACACACTCGCAACATTGAGGGATTTAACCCTATCAGCAAGTCCAAAAGCCCCCAAAGCTTCCGCCTATGTACATTAACCCCCCACTCCTTACTATCTGATCCAAAATCCCATTTGTCTACATTCTACATGCAGTTATCTCCACGCGCCACACATGATAATGCTTCCAAATGGTAACACCTCCTCTCCTATTTCAATGTCTTTCTTTAATAAGATTCTTCTTACCAGGGAAATTCTGTTACCCCCATTTCCCATCTCCATCAGAGACCTTCCCTCTTTTCCCCTGCTTATTTTACTTCACTTTTTTATTAGCAGAACGAACCTTATTTCCACTTATTCCTGAATTATTTCCTAGGAAAACCAATCTCATCACAGTCTCAGAAAAGTTATATTGTTATAAATTCTCGAAACAAGCTCAACACAATAGATTGAACCAATAAAAGTAATGCAGAAACATGCAAGCAAAAAAAAGAAGCAGAAACATGAAAATCAAAGGGCAATTGATGACTTTTAGTTAAGTTTCTCTGAAGAAAAATGGAAACTTCTAAACTTCAAGAAGCCTTGTCATTATATATAAATTTATATTCTATATTGCATTTTACCATTTTATTTCAAACTTCAGAACTTCCATAAAGCCTCATTTTAGGGAAGTTGTTCAAATAAGAAATTTGAAATGGCTAAAGCTCTAATCCTGCTACAAAGTCTAAAATTTAAACTGCAAATCCAAAATGCATCCTCAACCACTTTAAATATGTGTTCCCACATACAGCTTACATACATGGAGCTCTTCAAACAACCTTTGAGCTGCAAAACCTCACATATAAATTAACATTCCATGCTTCTCAAAGGCTTGTTTGCTCCTTAAATATGCCATCCTTTATACAAAATCATCTTTTATACAGTTTATATGATTGGCCTCCATTATGGCATAGGAAATTTTTCCACAATATACATAGAAGGAAAAAAAAAAATTTGAAGTTCTTGAAGAATACCTGCTCCAAGATTGCTAGCACAACTAAATAGACTATATTCCAAAGCACATATAGGAGTGCCTTCTTAAAATGTATCCACATTTAAGACTATAGCACAATTCAAAAAATATCATTCGCAACACAATAACAATTTGAAGGCTGCAAACCAAGACGCATTCAAGATCTCAATGATCAAAGAATGGAAGAAAAGAAAGAACTCTTCACAGAGAAACACAAAAGCGCCAATTAACGCATACCTCGCAATATAAACATGATTTTTTTGAGGCATCAAGAAACTTAGATGACTCCATATCAAGGTTGAACTTGGCCTAGAAAGCAACAAAATGGCCACTGAGAAAGCAGGATTTATGGAAGCTATAAAAGAAACAAGTAACCAACAAAAAGAAATGTATATAACAGGTTAGAACTTCAGAAGATGCTATCATGCCACATAAATAAAAAATTATATCATAATATAGTTGAATGAGGATAGGATGCCTCGTACTTTCCAACTTCTTCAATTATATTTCAGAGATGAATTATTACGATATTTATAGTATTTATGTTATGGTTTTAGGATTTTAGGGTTGCTGGATTTATGTGGACTTTCAGGGCCTTGACACCCATGTAGCTCATAGCCATATACTGTGTTGTTGACTCCAGTGAGAGATCTTGCCCCCGAAAGGTGACAGATAAGTGGCACGCCTGCCCGTTGTGACTATCCAAGCCTAGGCGATCTAGGGCCCTAGGAACGAGCCTGCCTTGGTTGGAGGTTGTTAAGAAAGCAATTAGGTTCAGAAGCAAATGGGGGGTTGAAACCCCCCCGCAGATGTCCAGCACCACCCACATGAAAGGGGGATAAGAGGAATTTCGACCTCAACCTCCACCTCCCCTGAAAGTGGCAGTAACCCGTTTTACGGGATACCCCAACTTCTAATGCAGATTTCACTGTAGAAGGATGCACTAGTAAAAGCAGGACTCCTACAGTGAATAACAAGCTTCAGCTTGTGGTGCCAAAGCATCTTGTTGCCAAACACCCCCTAAATATCATGAAAACAACCATATTATCAAAGTGGACATGTAGCCAAGGTACTCATAGGGGTTTTGTGGCTTGAAATAGCAAGGACAAAGTATTTCAGGGAAGGTACTGATATTGGGTTTTGTGGCCATTTAAAGGCTGTTAACTCCTAGCTGTTTATGTACGCTCCTTTTTAGTAATTGCATTACACTATTCCCTGTTTTAATGGTAGTATTGGTTCTATGAGTTTTAGAGAGGTTTATGACATTCAAGGCAAGCGGGCTCTTCGGAGCGCACTCGGTCATTAACTCTATGAGATATAGAGCAGTTGGCAAAGTGTGTTAGTGCACTTTAGGACTCCACACATGGTTTTGCAGCCTAGGGCCAAGAATAGTAGAGTTCGATCCGCATCAGAGGACTACCTTTTCCCTTATTTATCAACTATAGTAACACTTACCATACATATAAATGATGTCATGTACATTTCCCAAAGCTATAACATCCGTCTAAATAAGTTGAAAAAACTTACATTAGAATATTGCTAACTGTTTACAAGAACACCTTCCCCTTTTAGTAGAATTGTTTGCTTACATTTTGATATTTTATTACATCATCCCAACGTCACTTAGGAGATGTCCTTTTCTTCTTTTCTTTTTCTTTTTTTTTTGAATGTCAAGTTTACTTCATTAATTCAAAAAGATCAATTTACAAGTACATTAACCATATGAAATTCAGTCAAAGAATAGGATTGTATGCTATAAGACCATTTATCTTTGATACAAGGAGGTCACAATTGTTAATAGCCATTAGATGTAAACTTGGACGGCTTGGGATGTGATACAAAGTTCAAGAAATTTCTTTTTGAAGTTTGGGTTTAGTCAATGACACACTCACAACCACCCGATTTGAAATCTGACAAACAAGGGTGATTGTGACCTCCTTGTATTAAAAGTAAATCGTCCCTTTATATAGTTTCCCCAAAGAATAACTCTATACTTCAAATTGTTCAAATAGTCGATGTCCTTGCCATTAATTAACATAAATGTTATTGTACTTTATAAGAAATTTCCAATGTATCCTTATGTTGGAGAGATACCATAAACATCTTTCATAAATGATAGTGCCCCATGTTCCTAATGACATTGTACCTCAGTGAAGTTTTTAATTGCTATCCTATGCTATTAGATGATTTTTTTCTACAAGAGATAAAATGTGTTTAATGGTCTTCGAAACAAAGAAAAGTATGTGAAATTATAAATTTGAGTCACTTGAAAAACCAAAATTACATATCTCATGACTATTAGCATCATGGAAAACTGCAATCCAAAAATTCATGCAATAGTCACACTTCATATTTCAAAAATATGTTCTTCTAAGTATGTTAAATATATGGAAACCACTATAAACAACGAGAAGCATGGCCATGTTATGGGAAAACCGACCACAAAAAACTCACTCAAACATTACTTAATCTCCTTTGTACATCAGAATCATGTTTAACATCAGAATCATGTTTAACAGCAGAAGAACAGCCAAATGAATTATCTACAAGGACAATGCACAAGATAAAAGTACTTCCAGCATCATGTTTCACATACCTTCTTCTTCCTTGGCTTTAAACAGTTCAGACACACAAGGCTTAAAATGCGTCGAACTTCAGAGATATGGGACGGATGATATATTGGTTGGGGCAATTGAATATAGCCAAAGTGGCCTGCATTGAAGTATGGTGACTATTATCATGGAAAGTAGGAAACTATTGAAAAAGAGATCTCTCTCACAGTTAACCAAAAGACTAAAATAAATTAGAGCTAAAGGTCTGAGATGAATAAAATAAATCTGTAAACCTCAGCATACCTTCACATTCACCAATGTCGCTACTTCCACAAGAATCACATCTACCAGATTCTACTGGAAGCCCCAAAAAAGGATTTAATAACTGACTTGAGTGACTAATGGGGCATTCATTTACAGACGATGTGCGCTACAATAAAAACAGAAAACAAGAGTCACCTCTTTAGGTTTTCATGAATGTTACATATTAAACAAAATATTTGAAGTGTGCTCAAATAGATAAATAGATCTCTCGAATAATGTGCAAGCCTATGTCATTAATAAGAAAATGTACCAAACCAAAATATGACTTCAAGGATTCTGGCAGTGGAATGAATTACAATATTAAACGTGACAAACAAAACATAGTAGAAGAAATTTACAACCATCACCCCAGAAAAAGTCAATTGCCACACAATGTGCAAAAAAAAATCTTCCGAACAATAATCAGAGAATTATGCAAATGCTCAATAGCTATAAGAGGGTAGAAAGACAAAAATAGAGCCTCATGGGATCACTACAACAAAAAAAAAAAACACAATATTCATGAACACCACATGGAGTTCTCAATTTATCCAGAGGTGTTGCCATCCCATCATCAGGTTGGTTCTCCTCCCTAAGATTACAATCAGCACAAGAAGTATCGGAACATTGACTTGTCAAAGTAAATAAATGAAAGAATACTAGTACACCAATGATTTTAAAAACTAATTGAGCAACACCGTACAACTACGATTTTAAAAACCGATTGACAACACATGTAAAAGTCAAATTGCCCTTATAGCCATATAAAAGTACATCCCCATATATTCCCGAAGAACTGAAGAAAGAATGCACAACCTGAAAAATTGATCTGTAAGAGTCACCAACAAAACACCACAAGGCGAAAAAAATCAACCAAAATCCACTGGATAGGTGTCGTATTTAGTCCAAACCTTGGAGCCCAGTAGCTTGACCCAAAATCTTGGAGCTCATCCAACCCACAGACAAAATTATACCACAGATATTAAATCTTGAAGCAGGATTAGACTATAAAGTTTAGCAGCTTTACAGTGCTCACGAAAGCACTGAATCATAATTTTCAAAAAAAGAAGGTAATGGAATCATCAGAAGGGACAAAGAAAGGTCTACAATCTCAAGTTTATAAGTGCAAGTGTAAAGCATCAAGACGAAGTAAAAGCAAAGAATCAAGAACATCTTCATAATGAAAAAGACCAGAGACACCCAACCACAATTGCCCAACAAATCAAACACACACATAGGTACGAGTACGCACATATGCGCAAGCACAAACACATGCACATTTGACAAACCAGAGAGATGCATGAAGTTCAACCAGCCAGTAGACATCTTCCTTAGAAACCATGCCCTCAACTACTCAGAATACGAATAGACTTTGTGCAGAATGTATTCTTTATTCAGGGACTCACAGACTGAGCACATTCTCGAGAAAGAAACAAATAAAATTTTGAAGACAATCAAATATTGAACAACCTAATGTTTGTCAACCATAATCAGTCTTATTAATATATGCAGGAGTTACACATGAATCAAAAAGTAGGAGGAACAATTTCAATGCCAAAACAGGTGAAAACAAAGCACCCTTACAATTTCATTAGAGGATGCCAAACAAAATGTAATGCCAACCAATTTAGCATCTGCAAAAGAGGATTGCAAGACATTGTCTTCCATTTCTTTCAAGTGTCAAACTTCCTTCTGCACCACATTTCAAACAAAAACCTCAACATTACTCGCGAGACAATTCAAAGCAAAAGAACTACTAAAAGATAATATAGGAAAAAGGAGAAAAGTGAAGTGCAAAAGAGTAAAACAAAAGCTTTGTCATACTATGGTATGCATCAATTTCAAAGACATTATGATAGGCACTAAATTGCAAAGACATTATTTTCTTGTCAATTTTGTTCAGTATGGATGTATTCTTTCATCCTGCAAATCTCCCGTGCCCCTTTTAGTACTTTCAACACACATTTGTATAGCTATAAGATTTTGTGTACCATTTGACCTAATGCACTTGCATACAAGCCCCTCAGACTTCATCATTTATTTCATTATAGTCATCCCTTATCCTCTATCTCAAGTTTCACAAGGTATCAAAGCAAAACAAGCCTAACTCCTGACTACCGTAAGTTGACACTTTTTTTAGATTTATTAAGAAACTTGCCAAATCCAATCCTTTAAAGTCTCAAATCAAATATGCCATTCAATTTCCAAATTCCAAACTCGTGATTGGCATCAGACCAGTCGTTAACCTTAGGACTTTTGGTCGTGGACTAGAAGCTATTCAGTCATTCGAAGCTTATTCCACCTTTTTGGACATTCATCAAAATTAAAAATCTCCAGTTTCAAACAAATTGGTCGTCATTAATGTTACTATGGGGTCAAAAGAACAGAGTCAAGCCCTCAACTCCAATGCATCCAAAGGTTGAAACAACATATTGCTTTGAGGAAGTGATGCCACCTAAGAAGGCACATGAGAACCATGCTGACATCAAGCACTGAACAAGTGAGGCGAGGACTCTTTGCAAACAAGAGAAACATAATTCCAACCAGACTACAGTCATCTAGCTTATTTATATCAATCCGTAACCTAATATTATTATATGAGAAAGAATCAACAGGCATATTCATCACCTCAGATGTTGCAACAAATTCAATATCCTTCCAAACAAGCTACAGATCAAAAGCAAGATCCCCACTTTCGACAGAAAACATGGCATATTACAAATAGAGTCTGCATAGTAGCGGTATGGTCAGACGAATACCACCGTCCCAATGGGTTGGACAGCAATGCTGTAAGAGTGGTCTACACCCTTGAATCCATGGAAAATTGGGTAGGACCCACACTCCAACCATCGCCATTCCAATCAATGATGTGATGGCGATGGCCCCTTATGGTACTATTTCCTAGCCATGTAGAACAGTATGTATTTTAATACATTATGTGATGAAAACCAGATAAAGATACAACAGAGAGTGAGATGGCTCTTAACAGAATTCCAGAACTGCTTATTCAAAAAAAAAAAACAGAAATCTAGAATTGAAGCCATTTTTAAGAGCTCTTTACACAGAAACTTATAACTGAGATAAAATGATAAATTCAAGGCATCTCTTTTTCCTGTAAAAAGAAATGAAGCCAACAAAATGGAAATATGAAATAAACAAGTAAAATGCCCCATTTTAGAAAAACGAACTCCATAACTGCAACAAAAAAAATTTCGAACAAGTTTTAGAGTCATCTTTTAGGGATATTGTGAGGTAAAAAAAGAAAAAATGAATTCATCAACCTTCAGTAACAGATAAAACAGGCCAAGCCGCTGGCTAAACTTGGCAAAAAACAGAGAAAACTAGAAGGGAAATGACCAAGATCGACAAAGAAACATGCATGCAACAACCAGAAAGTTACAGAGACCCGCTTATTAAAATCATAAAAAAGTAAACGAAAGACACAAAAAAAACAGTAGCTCATTTGAAAAATTTCTCACTTCTTCATTCCCCATTTTCACATCAAAAACCTTCTCCATTTTCACTTTTTTCTCTAAAACCGTTAAGCTATATATATATATATAAACGATTTCATCAATTTCTTAGACAGGCAAAATAATGTAGATACCCTTTTTACGTTGACAAAGACAATGAGAATTTCAGAAACTTCCCTTAAAGCTTGAAAACAAAGAAACTAAAACCACTAACCACTATGCAGAGAGCTTAAAGAAAACAGCTTCAGGCTAATGAGAATGCATGCTAGGGCAAATAACATAGTAAGGTCAAACCTCAACTTACGAGCTCAAATTTCAGAGCTCAGGCTTCATTTCTCATGCACAGTGACTATTTTCAGAGCTCAAGGCCAAGAAACACACTGGAAAGCACAAACAAGCGAAATGTACCATGAAAATTTTAAACGGGCATAGAAAAACTCCATGAAAAGGGGACTCGGAAGAACATAGGGTTCAGATCAAACCTTCTCTCTCATAAATACTGGAAACTAAAGCGAGTGCCCTGAAATTTTCAGATGAATATGGAGTAATTTCTCTCGAGAGGAAAAAAAATGGAAATGAAGCTTTCAGAAGGCGTCCATTGAAGCTTTGAAACGCTTTTTTTTTTTAACGTCGCAGAGAGAGAGAGAGAGAGAGAGAGAGAGGAGAGCGAGAGTCCACAAATGCAGTGTGTATTGCCCTTCTTTTGGGGAAATGTATCTTTTTACTGTGCGGCTTCACAAACATGCATATTATATTCGGGAGAGAGATAGTTTTAGAGAGAGAATTGGTAGAGAGAGAAATCACACAATTTCTATTCTGGTTGAGGGGATGACGTTTTCCTTTCCAATTTTGTGAGCTGGCTTTATTATCACAATCTTAAAAAAGAAAAATATAATTTTGAGATTGTAAAAGCTGACCTCTTTAAATTCCCTAACTGGATGGTGATTTGTTGTTGGAGGGGATTTATTTTAATTATATCTAAGATTCAAATTTAATTCTTTTTTTTATTGATTATTGAGATGAAGAGAGTGTACGTAAAATTTTGAGTTATACAAATGGATGTAATTGGTATACAGATGCATTCATAGCTATAGAGGTAAGGTACACCTTCAAATTTCATCATAGTATATAATTTTGATGTAAAATGTTATAAGGATTATCTAAAAATCTATTTTTTATATCTAATTATAACATTTTAAATTTCAAAAATGGTTAAAATCAAGTAGATCTATAAACATATGAAAATCTTGAAAATGAACAGTGTAGATAATATGTTGTAAAATGCACTATTTTTTAGATTTCAAATCTTTTTATTTTTCATAGTCATGCATCTCGATATCGAGATGATTAATCAAAGGATTTTTCAACATTAAAACTACTTTTTTCGATGGATTTTTTAGGTGCATCCGTAGTTCTATATTATAAGATTTCGTCCTTATATAAACTTTTTCCTATACAAATACTACAAACATGGTTTTCTAAAAGTATGGTTGCATCATATTATAATACAACCGTTGCATTAGATAAGTGCCTTACAAGTATAAATCTCAATATCTTTTCAAACAACTTTCAACCGGTCTTTTTGGCTCTACCCTTCGTCCTTTTTAATCTTTCTATTTGAACTGATTCACACATGCTGTATTGGGTGTGTGCCACACATAATCAGTCCACTTAAATCTATTTTATCTCATCTTATAGCCTATTGATACTACACTTAACACTTAAATTTTTTTTAATAAAATCATTTTGAATTTTATTCCATACTCTATTGTCACTCATCTATCTGAATGACTCTATAGTTTATGTACACCATAAAAGGCTTCACATCATCTTTACCATACGATTTCAAAACGAACGTCCGAGATAAAAGAGTACTTCGATGGAAAAAACCTCTAGAGAAAGAGATGGCTTACTAAGGCCGTTAGGTCTCACAATGGACGACCCATGGCTATGTATAGTATACTGTTGTGAACCAACGGTGCACCACGTTCCCAAAGCAGTGAAGTGAGAGATAGTACAAGTGCATGCACATGTTTTTTTTGGTAGTTGTGTCACACGTGCGAGGGAGTTATGGAGCGTGCTACTTTTTGTTTTATTTTGATGGGGCAGGTTTGGAATTAGGAGTTAATATTCGCACGAGCACCCACACATGCCTATGTTCTACATAGCCATATACTACCTTATTTTTCATGCTCTAATTGCTAATATAACCCTTCCAAGAGATAATATTGTACCTATATTATTTGATTTAATTTTAAAATGCTCTTAAAATTGCAATAGTGCCAAAAGCGTAAAATATTAAATAAAATATTAAATAGTGCATCCCATAAGAATTTTGATAAATTTATCAAAAAATTTTGATGAATGGCTCTCCAGATTTTTAAGCTTCCAAGTTCGAACACAAACTCCGAGACTTCTTTAATATAGGCAATCAAACACAGTATTTGCCAGCTTTAAAACTCGTAGGTTTTAGCTTCCAAGGAGACAAATCTTCCACTTCCTAGAGAGGTCCCAACTTCCTTCTATCAAACCATCTTTAGGATGTGATTGATTACTAAAACCCCCAACTTCTATAATTGTAGAATTTATTGTATTTGTTAAACAAAAAATGTTGCAGCTGCAACAAAGTAGCATAAAAAAAAATATTGATTTAAAAAAGCCGCAACTTCCATGCTATCCCACAAAAGTCAAGGCATCTTTATATTGGAGGACGGGCGCCTCTTCCACCAACTAAACAAACCCTTAAATTTACCCAATGATACATAGTTGAATTAAATTAATCCCAAAAATATGTTTGTGCTTTTATTTTTATTTATTGAAAGTTAACTTTTCCACGAGTCTTGGTGCTTGTGAACTAGAATTATTGCAATGAAATGAGTGATAATGAACCAATAACAATGTCACCGATAAACACTAGCTTGTAAGGTTAGTATACATGTAATAGATAAATATTATTTTTTACTCATTGCTAATCATCCGGTCTAGAACTATCACCAGTCGACTTAGACACGTAAATTGTATGTATGCTTGAACCATATAAACATTTTCATGTGTTCCTCACACAAACATAATTTGTACCTATCAGGAACCGCCGATATGAGTAAAAGATAATATTGCAATAAACAACCAATTATGTTTATGAAATCATAATTACTAAGTGATAGTTTATATTATTATTAGCTTACTCCCGACTATCGCATTAATTTTAAACAGGTATAATACCCCCATCGACAATCAATGCCTCGAACCACAAAATTTATCGCAGAGCCATGTGAAGGCCTCACCATTAATTAATTGAGCTATATGTTTGGGAACTAAAAACAAATGAGTCTAATAACAAAAGGGACCACAACTTAAAGGATTTGTGTTATTGTTATGTGAACGCCTTATTAGGTATTCTAAAAGGCGGTTATGTGTACCGTTTCTTGAAAACATGGATAATGGAGATGAATATCTGCGTAGACACTCTTGGACGGGCCCATCTACTAGTCCGCTCATTAATATCATATATTTTTTGAAATGGGTGGTGGATGCATTGCCAGTTATATACCAAGTACCATGTATCTCCAAAGAGAAAAATAATAGATAGCTCTGAAATAGACTCAAAGCTAGATAATTATAACATTGAGGCATCACAACATCGTGATATATTGAGTTTCATTTTTACTGTAAGTAAAGTAGCTCTCATCTTTGAAGTGCCTACAAAACCATGAGGCCTCCTTGATGGAGGGAGAGTGGTTTTATAAACACCTAAAAAGATGGTTTGGAAGTTTGGGGACATGCGTTCTCGAAACATGTAATCTATTGAGGAGTCAATATTACCATTTTTCTCCCCCTAACATGTTGGGAAGGAAGAGGGCACATGGCAATCAAGCGAGAGAGTGGTCAACATGTGTCAAATATCTCAACAAAGTGGTGTACGAAAGAGAGAGGGAGAGTAGGTAGGAGAAAGAAAATGTGTGATAGAGAAGGTAAAAGCTTATTCAAGGTTCCAATTTTAAAGGTGCATTTCAAAAATGGCAAGCTTTTTATGCTTTCTCTAGAAGTTCTATTCTCCCCCGTATCCAACCGTCCATTATGAGAGGAGGGCTAAGATTGTTTCAATCACAATATCATGTATCAGCATTATTTTATTTTTAAATTTTTTTCTATAAACTATTTTGACACCAAATTTTGGATGTCCATTCCTCTATTCAACTCGCACTAGAAAAAATATAAAAAAAAATATTTTCAATCAAATATAATGACCAAAATATCTCTGCAAATTTCAAGGGATATTTTAGTCATTATATTTTATCAAAAAATTATTTTTAATATTTTTTATAGGTGCACCCCAATGAGAAGACGGCATGTACCAAATTTCATATTCATACAATTTGTATAAAAAGACTAAAAATAAAATACTTTGAGACATTGGATCTAAGATCAAACGGTGAATGACTCTCTTGAACAAAATTGAAAAGCTGGATGGTAGGGGGAGGATAGAACTTCTATGTTGTAGCGGAAGCCTAGAAACCTTTCCTTTTAAAAAATTCATCGAAAAAGGTTGTTTTGATATTGAAAAAACCTCTAATGATTATCTCAATAATGTGATGTAAAGAAATAAAATAAAATAAAAAATTTGAGACCTGAAAATAATGCATCTTGTAATATATTATCTAGACCGTTCATTTTTAATATTTTATGTATTTATAGATCCACTCGATTTGGTTATTTTTCGAGTTTAAAATTGATAATTCAAGATGAAAATAAATTCTCAAGTTATCTTAAGAATTTTTTATACTTAAATTACATTGTATGATAAAATTTGAAGGTACAACTTTTTTTGATTGTTTACGGTTGCAACCTTGCATGAACTAGAGTGGCAATTGGGACCCCTGGACCCAAGACTTGATGGGTACACCTAACCCCGCATCAGGGTATGGAACCAATAGGTGGGGTCTAGATCCAATAGCTTGACCCTATTCAAGTCCATGTCTAGGTCTGGAGCCAAGTAGTCCTTCTAGGTCCAAGTTTGGGTTTGAGTCTAGATCTGGGTCTAGGTCCAAGTCAAGATCTAGTTTTGAGAACTTTGGACCCAATCGGGCCTCAGTCTGGGTCCCATACCTAACCCGACATGTTGCCACCCCTAGCACAAACCCTAGGTGAGCGAGCAAAGAAATTCCACGCAAATAGAGAAAGAAGAATCGTGCTACATAGAGTCGTAGGTCTCTAATGAACAATGATGGCCTCTTTCTCTCTTTCTAATGAGACCATTAATTAATGGGATTGTATACAATGAGAACATTTATTTTTTGTAGAGAGAAGTCACAAATACTTATAACTATCCGATGTGAAATCTGAAAGCTTAGGAGTGTCACAAAGTTTGAGAAAATTTCATTTAAACTGTAAACTTGGTTAATGAAATAAATGTAGCCACCCAATTTCATATCTAATGTTCAAGATTAATTATGATCTCTATGTATAAAAGACAAATGTTCTCATTATATACTTTCCCTTAATTAATTATACCCCATTCCCCTAAAGGAGTTTTTAGGAAGTTTTTAGGATTAATCATGTCTGAAGCTCTCCATGACACTTTTTACGAGTGTGAAATAATCATATTTCCCCTTAGAGAGAGAAAGGGAGATAGTTTATGATTGGGTTTGAGTGAGGATGGAGAGGGCACATGCCAATCAAGAGAGAGAGTGGTCAGCAACATGTGTCAACTACCTCAACAAAGTGGGTGTACGAAAGAGAGAGGGGGCGTAAAAATCTATGCAAGGTTGAAATTTTAAGAAAGTGCACTACACAAATCTTATAATAAAAAAAAAAAGAAAAAAGAAAAAGAAGAAAGAGGCTGTTTTGATATTGGAAAGCCCTTTAATTGATTACCTTTAAATCAAGATACATAGAAATAAAAAGAAAAAAATTTTGAGATAAAAAATAATGCATCTTGCAATATATTATCTAGATCGTTTATTTTTAATATTTTAATGTGTCTTATAAATCTATTTGGTTTGAATCGTTTTTAGAATTTAAAATTTTATAATCAAAGATGAGAATAAATTCTCATGCTCCCCTAATTTTTTTTACATCTAAATCACATCTTATGGTAAAATTTGGAGGTGCGCCTTATTTTCCTGGTTTAAAGTTTCAATCTTGTGCAAACCACACCCAATAGAGAGAGAGGATTCAAAGAAATGACTAGGGGTGGAAGTTCGGACCCATAGACCCAACAGCCGAAGGGTAAACCCAAAACCCGGGTCCAAGTACGGGTCTTGGATGGACCCAACGGGTTGAGTATGGGTCCAATAGCCTGGCTCGATTCAGGTCCATGTCCAGTCCAAGTTGTCCATCCTGGTTTGGGTCCTAATAGTCCCTCTCTTTATTTCTTGAGTTAACTATACATTTTTATTAATGTAAAAATTAATTTTCAGATCGGGTCTAGGTCAAGTCCAAATCCCCCATAATCAATTTGAGTCTGGGTCTAGGGGCTCTGGTCTCGATCACATCTAGGTCCGGGCCCAGGGACTATGGACTCGATCGAGTCTGGATCTAAGTCCCATAATATAGTTTTGGACACGGGCATGGGTCCACGTCCGTATCCGCATCTGCGTCCGAATTCGACCCGACCCATTGCCCCCACAAGAAATGCCACGCGGATACCGCACTCTATATATTCTAGAGTTGTAGGTTTCTAATGAACAATGATGCTCCTCTTGAGGCCATTAATTAATTATACCCCATCCCCTTAAAAGGAGTTTTTAGGATAAATCACTTTTGAAGCTCTCTTTCTCGAACTTTTTAACACAAGAGTGAAATAATCGTATTCCCTTTAGAGAGAGATGATCATATTCCCCTTAAAGAGAGAAAGAGAGGGAAATTGTGGAATGATTATTGCTCAAAAGAAGCGCCCAAATCAAGCCCACCGAGATTATACATGCAAAATAATCAAGTAATTTTTTTAATCTCCAACCGACGGTCCAGATTTCCTTAAAAGATATGTAACAGACGAAACCTGAGCCACTGATTCTATGGTTAAGAAGACCAGGCCGGCCACTAAACTTGGGTTATGAAACAAAATCTGAACAGTTCGATTATATGCATAAAGTGAGAATCTATTCTGTCCTTTTTCTCGTGTCAAGTCCGTACTCGGATAGTAACAAACCAGGGGACCCCACAGAAAAGGCCGGGTTGGGATTTTCCATATGTATTTTAAGTGCCATTTATATTCCATCTTGTTAGGGGTGACAAACGACCCGACCAGACACACGACCCGACAAGTAGACCCGACATTGGGATCCAGGTATGGATTCAAATTTTGGATTCGTTTCCATAGTTAGAAGGTACATGATAGCAATAATGTGTCTTTAGATGCATGTTAGGTGTTTATATTGTCACAACATTAGTAACATTTACAATATTATTGGAAAGGGAAAAGTTTATGTAGAGCCGAGGCTCTAAGCAATCAAATTTGAACATATCTCAAAATTTTCACTAGCAAAGGTTGTTTTGATGTTCAAATATATTCAAATTGATCATCTCAACATCAAGAAGAATGGACATGAGAAAAAACTAGATTTCAAGATTTAGAAATAGTGTATTTTGTAACACATTTTTGGATTGTCAATTTTCAAGCTTTTCAAGTTTTTATAGATCTGTCAATCTACACTATTTTTTAAACTTTAAACTTTATAAATAAATATAAAAAGATATTTTAAAGCTATCACAAAGATTTCCAATATTGAAAGCACATTTCTCAATACTATTTGAAGGTAGGCTCTAATTTGATTGTTTAGAGCCAAGGCTCCATACAAACTGTACCGTATTGGAAAAAAAGAAGATGCTCATAGTCATATGATATATGATGGTAAAAAAAAAAAGGGGAAAAAAAAAGAAGGTTTCTAGTCATATGGTGGCAGTGGATTCGACCAAACCCCAATGGGTAGACCCGAGACCCAATGGGTCTGGGTATGGCTCCAGATTTTGGACCCGAATGCTATTCGGGTTTGGATCCTGTAGCCACCCCTATATCTGCTCGATCTGAGCTGTACATTTACTACAAAAGTTTCCAAGTAACCGGTTTATGATGTTTGTTTATGGCAAACGAATATTTCTCTAACATAGTTTTTCCTTTGGGGAAATTGCATACCCCCCCCCAAAATCACCTATTCATTCAACTTACCCCCCACCTTAGCTTTCCTAACAACTTTTTTATCCAAAACTATGTTTCCTAGCAAATACCCCCCAATACAAAAAGTGATCTTTTTTTTGACGAAGATACCATTCCCGTAATTTAAAAACTCATTTTCGGGTCCAACAAAAAGAAATGCCGGACCGAGGATACGAATGTCATATCACCCTCTCATAATTCCATAATTACTTGATCGCATTTGTAAAATGCTAGAGCACCAGTCAATAGCAAAAATCCCCAGACTGCCATATAAAAAGACCGGACTAACCTCTCTAACTGCCGGATCGCCCCTCAGAACGCCAGACCGGGGCAGTTCTAGTGACACTGAACGCTGGACTGCCCCTTCAAAATACCGGACTGACCTCTCAAACTGTCGAACTGCCCCTCAAAACGCATGACCGGGGGCAGTTCCAGTGACACAACGCTGGACTAGCCCATGAAAACATCGGACTGCCCTTCCTCATTGCCAGACTTCCCTCATAATGCCGGATAGGGGCAGTTCCAGTGACACTAAACGTTGAACTGCCCCTCCCAAACACCAGACTGCCCCTCAGAACATCGGACCGGGACAGTTCCAGTGACACTAAACGCCGGACTACCCCTTGAAAACACCGAACTGACCTTCCTTATTGCCGAACTGCACATCATAACCCCAGACCGGGGGCAGTTCCAGTGACACTAAACACCAGACTGCCCTTCCAAACTGCCCGGCTGCGTTTCCAAGCTGTTGGACTACCCTCAAATGCCGGACGGGCAGTTCCTGACATTGAACGCCAGACTGCCCCTTCCAAACGCTGGACTGCCATATATAATTGCTAGATTGCCCCTCAGAATGCCGAACTGGGGAATTTCCAGTGACCTTAAATGCCGGACTGCCCCTTTAAAATGCCGGACCGCCCTCCAAAACCTCCAGACTGCCCCCCAAAACTGCCGAACTACCCCCCAAAGTCGCCGAACTTCTCCTCAAAATCGCCTGACCGCCCCCCAAAATTGCAGGACTGCCCCCCAAAATCATCGGACCACTCCCCAAATTCGCCGGACTGTCCCCCCCAAAACCACCGGACCACCCCAAAACTATGTTTCCTAGTTAATGGAACATGTTTCATGTTTTAGTTAATAAAGCACAACATGTACTTGATGTTTGCAAACCGGTATTAGCATTGTACCCATACATCAATCTAAGTATACACAGCCACAACTACAACATCATCATCAAGAATATTATTTAATGTCAAAATAAAAAGAAAAATGAAAAATCACAAGTTCACATAAATGTAATCCACATCCATTCCTAAAGTCTCAAGGTGCCCCTTGAATAGTATCATCCAAGAGAAATAGAAAAAATTTTAAGAACAAAAGTAACCTAGGGAAAGTGTCTCAGCTACCCAACTAGTATTCAACAATTCCAAGAGTAAGAAGAAGACAAGCCACTTCAAAGTTAAAAAATCTATTAGAGTGGGACATGTCATTAGTTGACTGCTATGATAGAGTACCTTCAATTGTACAAAAAGAATGGATATTTCACTCTTAGAAACTCAAAAATACATATCAATTGAAAAATACAACTCAAAATAAGGTTCATAGCCTTTGCAACTTGCATTAGTCACTTTTCAAATTACATATTCAAGTATCATCTAAAGAAAAAACATATCAGTCACTTTCTTCGCTTCAGCCATTCTTTTGGCCAGCTTGCAATACCCTGTCCCTTTACATCGGGTTCCTCCCTAGGCCTTTTCACCTGGACATCTCCCTCTCTTCGTGATTGCAAATTCCGCCTTGATTCTTCATGCAAGGCCAACACAACTTGAATCTGGTTGCTTTTATTGTTGTCATTTTTGCTCTTCGTTCTCCTCTCATTTTCGTCATCGGTCTCGCTCTCTCTTTCCTCATCTCCACCATCTCCCTCCTCAATCTCACTTTCCTCATCTCTACTATCTGCCTCCCCGTTCTCGCTTTCGTCATCTCCACCATCACTCTCCTCACTTTCACTTTTGTCATCTCCACCATCTCTCTCTCCTTGCTCTCGCTTCCTCCATCTCCCTCCACCCTCTCCTCGACATTTTGTCTCCATAAGAGTGTTTTGTAATAGCATACTATGGGTCACCTGTACATAATGTCTTGATTCCCTTGCTAATATTTCACCCCAAAATGCAGCTTGTAGCATCCCTATACAGGTTAATCGCTGCAAGTAGACAATGAAAAACAAAATAGAAAATTACTTTGAATGCATATTAAGTCAATAAAAACAAACTCAATTCCACCCAGTAGAGAATAAATTTACAATAAAAAAAAAAGAAAAATCACATGTTCACATATCCAAAAATCAAATGAAAATTACTTTGAACGCATAATTTTATTTTTTAATGATAATATGATGGATTATTCAAAGTTAACAGCAAACAAACTCAATTCCAGCAAGTAGAGAATAAAATTACTATAGGAAATACATGTTTTGATCTTTTCATTTTTCTATCTTATTTGTAAAAAGGGCAACTCTATAATCCCGACCTTCTCTCTCTGTAGTTAATTTTTTGTACAGCTAACCTCACAATGAGTCCCGTCTTTGCTAAGATGTCACATTCAAGCCCTAAATATACCACATTCAATTTTTTATACAAAAGTAAACAATTTTAAAAAAATATTTACTAGTACCAATAACATTCAAGCCCTAAATATATTACATTCAAACCAATATCTATTCTTTTAGATAATTTTAGCAAAGTGGATAATCAAGATTGAGAAACAGATGCATATGGATTCAATTTATTCTCTCTGATCAATTTATCTCTGATTTAAATCTTCAATACATGCACGAAGAATTTATCTAGCCACGAAAGGAATGTCACATAATATAAATCATAAACAATTTACCTAATAAAATCTACAAAAGTTAACTTACATGTGGGATCAAAGAGAAAACTATCTAGAAACCACTAGCTCGATTTATTTTTTATTTTTACAGAGAGAACAATAATTTATTTTTTATTTTTACAATAGTAAACTCTCTTTCGTACCTGTGGGCTGATTTAGGGCTAAAATCGAGCTCGGTTGCTTCAACCTGGTTTGAGGGGTAAATTGTGAAGAGAGACAGAGCACCACAACCTGGTGTTTTACTACTTATGATGGGTAAATCGTGAGAGAGAGAGCGCCAGTGAAGAATGGGTAAATTGAGAGAGAGAGAGAGAGAGAAGCGCTAGGTAAATCGTGAGAGAGAGAGCGTTGGGTAAATCGTGAGAGAGAGCACTGGTGAAGACAGTGAAGAGAGCGGTGAATACATTGAAGAGAGAGAAAGAGAGTGAGAGTGAAAGTACAAAAAGTAAAGTAAAGGAGGGGTAGTATGGTCCTTAGTTTTATTAGGAAAGATGGGTTTTCAAAAAAGATAGCGAAGAAAGTATAGGTGGGGGGTAAGTGAATAGAATAACTGTTTTTGGGGGGGTTTTGTAATTTTCCCTTTCTTTTTAACCTATTGTTATACTATTCATTTAATTTTTATTAGTGGGTTTGTCTAGAGTAAACAAAACCTTTTTTTTTTTTGGATAACTTAGTGGGGCACCCATTTTTTCACAGGGAGTTGGTTTTTTTGAAGGTGTCAATGGGTCGTGTCTTCATGATTGGAAACCACAACATGATAGCTAGGTATGAGAGTAAACAAACTCTCAAAATACAAAAATTAATATTAGAATGGCTTATAATAGGTATATTTATCATAAAATTATTACTTTTTGTAAAAAAATATTTTAATGGGTAATTTAATCATTAAATAATTACAAGTTTCAAATTTTTATAAAAATATAATGATATTTTGGCAGTTAATATGCTGAAATTTTATCTATAGAATGCCCTTAATTTTTAGTAATTTTTTTTAACTTTACCCATTATGAAGATGACCAGAATATAATTTGTATGTTAGAGACATTTACATATCTACCTTTATTTGATGAACAATATTCACAATTCACTATAGCATTAACCTTTGCATGTGGAAGGGTTGTAAATTGTATAGTATTACTTTATCATTATTTAAAGGACACAGTTAGCATGCGCCCAAGCCCGCACATGTAGAAATGCAGGCTTGGCAACAAATATATTATTTAAATATAATTTGATCTTAATTTTTTTAGAATACATAATCTTTAACATGAAGATCATAAATATGGAGCTTTTTTTATTTAAAAATTAAAAATAATAATAGTATTAAGAAAACATTTAGACTGCATAATGTAGAAATGTGGTCCAGCCCGTACGAAACAATTTTTTTTTTTTTGGAAAGGTCCCCCATGAAACAATTGTTCTTACTTAAAAAAGTGGCTTCTACAAAATCGCAGGTAAACCATTACAATCAATTTTCTAACATAGTTTAAGCTATAAACTTTTAAAGAAAAGGAATCAGTCCCCCGACTCATGCACTCGGTGATCCAAGCGGCCCACCGTACAGGCTTTGCGAATCAATTCGAAAATTATTTAAAAACTTGAAGAGCCGTTTGGCTGCCACCCCATCATGCGTGAGCTGTTGACAAGCTTTTTAAGGAAAATTTTGGAAAATCTAATTTTAACCCAATACACAAAAGTAGCTTTTCTATGAAGTTCAAAATGAAAGTGGACCCAAATATGTGATCTAAACTCATTTGTCATAGATGATTTGAATAATATGACCCTTTTCGTTAAGGGCTTTTCAAAATATATTTTGTATTTTGTATTTTGTATTTTTATTTATTTTTAACATTAACATAAAACTTTCATTAAGAAATCATCAATACCGGTAGTACAAACAGTACTCACTAGAAGTAGGTGATCACCAACCATGGTTGGTGGGACACCTCCTCCCTTGGCGAGAGAGTCGGCTTATGCATTAGCCTGCCGGTGGCAATCCGGAATGTAAGCATTTAGAGTATTTAGAATGTCCCAAATGTCATGAAACATAGTAATCAGCCTTTGAGGTATATTAGCTTTACTTTTACTCCATACCATAATATTTACAGAAACACCTTCTATGATCTTACCTCTCTCAAATCTTACTAGAAGCTTAATACCTTCCGAAAGACCTCTAACTTCTGCTTCATTTACTGTAGTGATATCACATGGGCCTGAGCATGAACAAACAATATGCCCGTTATAGTGTCTTATCAATCCACCAAAGCCAATTTGTGTGCCATATGATAGTTCTTAACAGAGAACCTTGTGATTCTTCAAAAACACGAAGAGCAATATCGATAAAGAGGAAAAACATGAAAAAGAGGAAGTGGAATATTGAAAAAAAGGGTTAAGGATATTAATTTACGCATTTCCAGGAATAGATTATGTGAATGACTATTTTGGTTACTTTCCTCTCTTAATCTCCTCATCCGTTTTTCCCGTTGTAGAACTTATATTTTTCCTTTAAAAAAAATCGAAGTGTTTATGATGTCGTGCACACTGTTGAGGGAGTAGGGCTGGAGCGTAGTGGTCTGGCCCAGACTTGAAACAGTAGAGTCTAGGCCATGGCCCGGCCTAGCCTTGAAAAACTAGAGCTAGGATCATGAAATGTGACCGAAGGGCCAGGCCAAACTCAGACAGGCCCTATGGGCTAGGGCCGGCCCAGCCATTATTGGTCCTAACAAAGAGTATACCACTTACACCGTAAATTGTGCATGCTCATGCCAATATATAAACCTTTAGAATATGGTCCTACGGGAGACTATGATTTCCACCATTTGATGCCCTATCAAACCCTGATTAGTAGGGAAAGGCCCTACATGATACGTATAAAACCCGATTCCCACCATTGGATCCCTGTCATGGACAGTGGGGATGATGATGATGATATGTAGCTCTGCAAAACTTCCTATCGTTTTGTCACATGGGGTTAAAAATGATCTCCACCATCCATTGCACAGATCCATTGGCCGGGATTTGGATCTTGTAATAATCCACTCGGTCCATGCACGATTATCAGATTCACTTCAGACTGCTGCTTCATTTTGGCTAGGAAATAGAAGCATTTCAGCAGCCTTTGTGTGTGTATATTGGCTTCTATTTTACTCCCCGATGGGGGTCTTTTCACCTTTGCTAAGTGTACTACTTCGCTATCAGTCACCTAGGAATATTTAGCTTTACATTGGTATCACTTTTGCTAAGTGTACTACTTCGCTATCTGTCACCTAGGAATATTTAGCATTACATTGGTACTACTAGGTCCTTGAAGATAAACATTGTGTATATAGCATATGGTACATAGGTCATCCACCATCAGTCAACAGCGGACGGTGGAGATGAGTGTGTCCTTCATTGGTAAAATAAGACCTTGAAGAGGAACATGGCTCGTCTTGGGCTGTTCAGGATGGTGGATGACATGTCTACATAACACACATTATAGATGCAATTTGTAGAATGTATCTTCCCATTCATATAATTATGTTAAGGTGGTCCTAAATAACAAAATCAGCACAGTTTATGTGAATAAAATGCAAGAGTGCCGTTGTCGTAAGGCCCATGCTTTATATGCAGTCCCTATGAAATTCTTCGCCCATGATTATAAAATTTGAAGATATAAAAATGTTGCAGATATGGCTGATATGAAACCACTTGAACAATGGACACTCTAGATAACATGTTACAAGCAACAATATTTTTAGGGTTTGAAACCTCTTTTTCTTTTACTATTTTATTTCGTATCCTAAATTCAAGGTTGAGATGATCAATTTTAAGGTTTTCTAAAACGTGTAATTTTACTTTTTTATTGTTTTATAAAAATCTTCTCCTAAAGTGAATGATAATAACTAAGAACTAATTTACAGAGACTAATCTCATTGAACAAAGTAGAGCATACACATCCTGTGCATGACATATAACAGGTGATGGACATGATTTGTAGTGAACAACAGGCAGATGTAACAGAATCATATATGATTGATTGGGAGAAAATAGGAAGGTGCAAATGCATTTTTCGATAAAACAAATTAATTGAAAATCATAAAACATTGACATTTATGGATCCTTCATTTGTTGAAATTCAAACCAGACCCAGTTTGCATATAAATTCGCTTCGTCGTCAAAAGGAACCGATGATTCTGTTTGGGTCGTTTCCAATTTGCGTGTCATTGAAAAAGGAAGCTTTGCTCTATACTTCTTGGCCATCCCTTCGGCCTCTGAAAATACTCTCTGAGGAAAATGTAGAGAGAGAGAGAAGAAAATAGATCAAAACCACTGATCAGAAGTTTTATATATGCAACTTAGACTAAACTAGCCAATGGCACCTTTTCAACTATTTTTAAGAGTTGTCCTATTTATAACACTACGATATGACAAATATGAATATTCTTTGGTTTAAAAATAGTTAATGCCAATTTAAGAGATCTGAAATTTTAAGAAATGAGTCCTCATAGATACAAACATTTTATATTTTTAAATTATTTTTATTTTTTAACTAATTTATGCCAAGAATCCAAGATAAAGAAATTTGATTATTCAAATATGCCTAAAAAATTCCTATTTAAATATCTATTTACATCAAAATTCTAACACTTCAAATTATGAAGATTCTTTTAATAACCAATGCCAATTTGAAATACGATTTTCGGAATTACGGGAAAGATGTGAAATACAAGTCCTACTTTCGCTACACTTTAAGAGAGTCTAGGAATTAGTTGGAATTAAAGATAGAAATAAATTCATTTAATGTACTCAAAGAATCGAATTGGATAGAAAAAGGAGTCATGGAGAAAAATTCAAAATTTAACCTCTTATTATTCTCCTTTGTATAGAGGATGGTAAATACAATAAGCGAATTAGGGAAAAGGGAGAAAGGCATACCTCTTTGTTTGAAAGGAATAACCCAGGCTCACTTTCAAGGTCTGCAATGCTATAACATAGGGAGATAAAAGAGTAAGAACAAAAAGGTGCAAAAACTATATCCACCATCACCAATCTACGGTAGAAAGAGCACAGAGTCCATAGCATGACAAAGCAAGTTTATTCCTTTGGTCAAACACTCTCTTGTTTTAACATGGGGCAGAGTAGACTCGATTTCTCTTTGTTAATAAGAAAATAATTAGTCATGGTTTGGGAACATGGAGGACATTTAAACTGCCAAATAAAAGATTATACACATCAATCAGGAGTATTCATCCAATGAGATCCCATATTATGATGGAACCAACCAAACATATCATGTGGTGATACTTCAAAGAAACCTGAACAGTTTTCTTTCATTTTTCTGGACAAGGTAATCAATGAATTTTTCCCTCTTCCATAAAGTTGCACACCAAGCGAACCCTGTTTTTCTTTTATATAATTAACAACAGGAACAGAAAGAGGAAAGAACCAAATAACAAACACTATATATGCACAGTGACCTACCTGAGAGATATATTTCCAGGAAACATCGACTTCACCACTAAAATTTTCACTTTCTCATCCACAGCCAATAAGTCATCGACTGAAGGAACTCGAGCACGGCTTATGTTTGAAATGTGAAGCAATCCGCTGCAAAGAGCAGTGAAATTTTTGCATAAGAAGATAGGGAAAAAATTATACAAGAAATTCAGTTCAAATTTGTCAACCAAGCCTTTTGGCTTATGGGAGAAATACCTTGTTTGCAACAAGAGAGGTATCTTGCACGTGAGCCTCTCCCCTGCAAACCAAGATGACCAAAGCCAAAAAAGAAAATGTTTCCTTATTTGAAATAAAAGTTTTTTCTTTATGAAATTTATTCTTTTAAATGGTAAAGACAATACAGTAAACAATTGTTTGCAGTGACTACAAGAGGAAGGAGAAAACTCTAAGTCAAGAGTTTAGGTGGGTTTGTGACAATACTTTCCTATACTTCTACATTTTTATACACCTCAGAGAAATTTTTAACACCATTAAGTATCGATCAAGAAAGAAAGAAAGACAGTCTTCACAAGTAGGTGAGATTTGAAATTTGGCGTTTGGTAAATGGTACACCATATGGCCATCCATAAGGCGGTTATACCCTGGAGGTCAACAGTAGTGAGATCCATTGGGAAAATGGCCTAGGTACAAGTTAATGAACCACTAGAACAAATATATGCAGCACCTCTCATAGTTAGGAAATAACCTCCAAAAAACTTTGAGAGACATCAGTATGCCATCAGTTTTCTGGATATGCACTGGTACCGTCTCAATTTTATATATAAAAAAAAATCCTTAGGAAATGGGAAACCCAAAAAAAAGAAAAAAAAGGGAAGATGATGGGTCTTTGATGGGAAAGATTTGAAATTTTCCATGGAAAAGATTTAAAATTATGATTCAGCTTATTCAACTATGTATAGGCTCAGTAGGGAGAGCTGGTTTGATAAAATAAATTACTCACTCAGTTGGCTTACTAAATCAGAAAGCTAGATATATTATCTCTATTCTCTTGGAAGGACAATAAAGATTCTGTAATATATACACCTTCTATTTGACTCCCCAAGCCTGATTTGTGCTCCATATGAGAAAATTTTGCGGACAGTCCCATCCAACAGTTTTCCTTCTTGAAGATACATCATATCCTGCATGAGATAAATGGGCCACTAGTATTTAAGGGGGAGATACCAGCTAGACATCTAATTCACATCTAAAATAGACCAGAGATCACAATAACTAAAACAAATGCAACTACACCGAATTTGGAGTAGGTCTCTAACATGCACACAAGCACATGAAACATAGAACAGCACTAATGAATAAGGCCCTTTTTGGACAGTCCTGATGGCCATATGCAAGCCTAATCTTTACCTGCTTTTATGGCAATCAGCAATCTTGAAAACAGGCACTCAACAATTGGTCATAACCACTTGGAATGGTATTCAAGTCTTTGCCGATAATGGTAAAATAATTTTTCTTTTTCCTTTCTTTTAATGGTATTGGCAAAACCCGCTATTGGCAGTGTTTCTTTTTCCTTCTTCCCCACCATTGGCAGTGTTATGCTAATAGGTGGAGTTCCACCCCTAAACTTGCCCCCCTGAATAGAGGCGTGCAAGGCAGGCACGCCAGATATAAGGAAGTTTTATTCCTACGGCTAAGAAAGTGGACATCCAAATAGATAAACTGGTATTCTGGCCCAGGCAAGGGAGGCACTGGCATAACAGAGGAACTTAGAAGGGAGGAAGAGAGTAATCATTTGCTGGCATTCCTACTGTGACAAACCAGCACAATAAAGACACCAGAAACACCAGAAAAGGCAACCCAAACATCCACCCACCCTCCCCCCCCCACCCTCACACACACACACACACACCACAAACAACAACAACAACAACAAAGAAAAAAACACTATGTAAGACCTGTGCATGTGCATCTGTGTGTGTGACAGAGGGGGGGGAGGAGGGGGGGGGGGTTGGGGGAATTAGACTTCTCCTGGTGTTTCTACTGTGTATGGTATGTTGGTTTCTTCCTTTTAGAGTGACAGCAAATAACTGCTCTCACTCTGAGGATTATGTCTTTCTCTGGCCAGTGGTCAAAAGCATGAACAGGAGCCACGGACATGCAAAAAATAATGACAGAAAACATATCAATCAAGAGAAGTAGCAAATGCACCTTTATTTGGTGAAGAATATATTGAATACTACAAACTAAATATCAAGAACTAACCCAAGCTTCCCTTTCACTGATTATCAAGTCATTATTGTCTTCATCAATCCTACTTATGATAACAGATATTCGGCGTCCAACCTGCAAAAGAAATTCACAAATAATAAAAAATTATACTATTGGAGCAAACTAAAATGAACACTAGAAAACTTGCAAAGTTCACATTTATTCTGGAAGAAGAAAAGCATAAAATATAGAAAATAGAGAAATAAAGGAAACAAAATATATCTGAACCATATAAACATTTTGGATAGACTTAGAAATCAGTTGGGCCTACGTTTTCTTTCAAATCCACAAAATTATGAGCCTTCTTGATCAACTCAGCCTTAGGAAGGAATGCCCGTAAACCCTGCAATATCCATGAATCACAACAAATTGTAATTCTTGTGCATGAACTTTTTAAAAGACTAGTAGGCAAAGATCAAGCAATCAACAGGCAACAAACAAATAAAGTAAATAGATGCAGCAGCAAACCTCAATTCTAGAAAGAAGACCTCCAGTGTTCCACTCTGAGATTCGGACTTCAATAGGCTCATTCATTCGTTTTACCTGAAGTACGCAAGTAGTATAAGACCTCTAAATCATAATATGAAATGCTTCTATTGTTCAAAAAATAAATCCTAATATGGAATATAAACATTATCATTTAAAAAACAAAATGAAACACTGGGATGAGCAATTAAAATTCTTCAAGGTTCTTATGAAATCAACAATTGGTAAATCTCTAGAAAAATATAGCCCACGGAGAGGAAACTGTGCACAACTTAGTACATGGATATCCGATAAAAAGAATGCATTACAATGTCCAGTTTCTTTTGTGCTTAAAATGACTTATGGCAAGAAAGTGCTAGTGTCACCCAGACAGAAAAAGTTTAAGACATTGGCTAGAGAATAATTCCCAAGATTGTAAACAAACCATATAAACAAATGAAAGCAAAGCATAAGAAATGACAGAAGCTCATTGCTACAAAGTACAAAACCACCATGAAATTTACAGATCAAAGAAAACATATGTAATTTAGAAGCTAAACTATTATGGAAGTTATCAGTTGAACTAGTTTAAGGATATTCAAGTGAGATATGAACGAGCACATTGACAGTGTCTGTGTTTGGTATTCACCCAAGAATGTAGAGAACAGTATAGCAATAACTGCAACATTCCATTCTGAATATTCTAGTCTATCATTTTCTTTTATTTTCTGAATTTGTTCTTTTCATTTTGTCGTTTCTTTACTTCTTAAGAAAAATAAGTTTGGGGTGTGAGACACATAAATGAACCACAGGTGGTTATGGATTACCAGGAGGAAAAATCAAAGAAAACGGGTGGTTATGGATTACCATTAATCCGAGTATCGTAATAGAAGAACCCCAAAATAAAAAACACATCAAATCATGAATGATGTTTAAAGGCACAGAAAACCCAATTAAAAACTTCACTCAACAACACTTAGGAATGATTCATTTGAAACAAAGTACAAGGAAAATTAAAAAATAAGCGTTGATACACCCATTATCTTGTATATTAACAGGCAAATCAACAACAACTTGAGAAATCCGTTGATTCAAAATGGTCTTCTACAAATTCCCTGCTAGCAGAGAGCATATTCGATCAGAAAAAAACAAAGAATAAACGAGAACAAGAAGACATATTCATTAGTTAAAAGAAAAAACAAAAAAAGAAATGAAGATTTAGTTTCCGGGTCTATCAGTATGCAGATTGATAGCTAGGCATGATAGTGCATAGTAAAATGATAATGGAACTAAAATGTGAATCCGAAGCTAAGAGAGAACATATCAAACTCGAGGAAATATTGAACCATATTCAAGCAAGATGAAAGAGAAAGATTGGAAAATCCTTTATGTCATTTATCCAAGCAAAAGAGAAGAGAAAGATTGCATCTTTCCTTTTATCCAGTAGTCAAGAGAATGAGAAAGACTCAATTTCTCTCTCTCTCTTTTGGTTTTAATCCTTGAAGCAAGAGAGAAGAGAACCTGCCTCACTCGATGCCAAGCAATCCTTCGAGCAAGTCGCCTGGTTGAGAGCAGAGGCCTCCCACTCAAAGTCCTCCCCAAAACCTCTGCAAAAATCACAGTTCCAGGCTCAACCACTGGCCTCCCCTCTCTCTTCTCCACCTCTCTAATTGCCTCCTCTTCTCTGATAATTCCAATTTTACCAGGACCCAAGACCTCTTTCCCCTTTTTTTCACTCAAATCACACAGGAGATGGGCCATTTCATCATCATAAAAAGGAAGAATCTCCTTAGTTAACATTGTGCCTAAACGGTCGGCCCCAATACTCACATCGAGCTTGTTCTCGTTGCCGGAAAGGACGACCCCAACAACCAAATCGCCAGCTTTCGGATCGTAGTATTCAACCTTAACCATTTTTGAATCCTTCTCCTTCTCTCTCTTGACTTGCTCTGATTCATCCATTTTTTGGGGTTCCTCTGTAGAGTCCCTGGGCTTGAAGAACCTCAAAAATGGGGCCAAGACTTTCTCGGGTTTCAAAGGTTCTGAGACGTGGGTTTCTTCAGAATCAGAAGAAGGGGCCATTGCAGTGGGTTTCTCGAGCAATTCAAGTTCAACTTCTTCACCATCTTCGGATTCAAACTGGGGTTCAATTGTTTTAGATTCTGAAGGTTCCGGCGTGGTTTTGGAGACACCATTGGCTCCATTCTGAGAAAGCAATTGGCTTTCAAGAGCTGAACCAGGTCTTGAAGAAGCTCGAAGGATTGTACTTCTCCTGAGTATCAATTTGGAGCTGGAAAGTTGGTTTCTTCTCTCTGTTTTCTTAAAGGAGATGCATTTCTCTATGAGTGGGCGATTGGAGAGAGAAGGATGGAAGGGATAGGGTAGGTGTAAGAGAGAGAGGGAGTTATGGGATAAAGTGCGCATCTTTTCATCCACTGAGCATAGAGAGAGAGAGAGAGGGATTCAGCGGATGCAGTGTGCATCATATCGAAAGAAGCTCGGACTCGTCATGGATGTGTGAGAGTTCAGTCACCAAATTCAGTAGCCTAACTTAACAAGAAAAGAACGTCATGGAAGATAATATACAGAGTGAGACAGAGAGGGAGAGAGACTCTTATCCATAATAGGGTCGTAAAAGGCTAAAAGTTGATTACTCGGAGGGGAGAGAGAGAGAGTGGGGGAGAGAGAACAAGAACATATATATATATACCTTTGAGAGAGAGAGTGGGGGAGGGAGGGAGAGAGCAATGCATTAAAAATAGTAGTAGCAAAATACTTTGCAGGTGTGTTGTAGAAGCAAAATGTGCAATAAAAATTTATATATAGTGTGTTTATTTGTAAAAATAAAAATGAGTAATGATCTTATAAGACCCTTTCAAACCCATGTATGTAAGATTTGGATCACCATGAAATTTGATACAAATATCTAGTTAAATTAACGTATGAGTGTGGGATTTGACTTTTATAAAGATCTATACCAATTTTAATGGTGATCCTTTAATATCTTACATACATGAATATGTGAAGATACTCTTTACTGTGAATCAAAATTCACGTGTTGAGTCGTCTTCTATTTTTACCGTTGGTTTCTCTTTTCAGCATACTCGTCTATCTCGTTTAATTTCTTTTTATCAATACTTCTTTCTCCTCACCCAATAAACTAGTGGTGAACATCTCTTATCTCTATTCCTCCCTCATTTCTTTATTCTCTCTCTCGCATGAAAATACTTCATATCTTTCCCTAACAAATTCCTCCTCCTTCGCTCTTTCTCTCTATATGCATGCATTCAATGACAATCACTCCTTTTTTTTCTTTTTTTTTTGTAACACTACCTCATCTCTATTTTCTCTCTTTCGCCTCCCGTGTTACTCTCTTTCTCTCTCACATGCACACCTCAACTATCTCTCTCTCCTTCTTTCTTCCCCCCTCATAATTTTCTCTTCTCTCTATCCCTCCACATTTTTCCACTCTTTTTCTCTCTCTTTCTCTTGCCCCTTTGATTTTCTCTTCCTCTCTATCACTCTTACACTTCTCCTCTCTCGCTTAAATTTCTCTTCCTCTCTCTATCTCTCCTACATTTCTCCAATTTCTATCTCCCCTTTACCTTATATGAATGCAAATACATTAACTATCTCTCTCTCACTCCATTTTTTATAAAAATATATTTCATAAGTATAACATTATAAGTTGCACATGTGTTGCATTGTACCTATTTTGTATTATAATTATAGATTAGAAATATCAAAGTAAATCATACCTATTTTTAATTATAATTATATGTTATATTTGTCAATTTAAATGCATTTATATTTATTAATAGATTTTTTAAAATTTGACCTTTTTAAAACTATACTCGTGGGAACAAAATTATTCTAAATATGAGTTATATTTTAAGAGAAAAGTGAAAACTTACTAAATGGTGGTTTATAGAGACCCACAGGCCTGGACCTAGATTTCAGGCATGGATCCAACCCACGAGCCAAACTTAGCTTCCCTTGTCGCATAAGATGAGGCTCACCGTGCCAGCCTAGCGCCACCCCTAAACAGCCTACGGTTTCATATACTCAATCACAAGGACATCAAAGTGCTGGTTTTTTTTCTCTCCCAACAAATTTAGCAGTTGATATAGAATGCAGTTTGTATTGGACAATCTTTCATGTAGAATTAAGGTTGTCATGTATCGGGTTGTATCGTCCAGTTTGGTTGGACAACATAATTTGGATATCTTAATATCTTTTAGGGCATTGTTATTAAGTGACACTACCTAAGATAATGTCAAATCTACACTATTTAAGATAATGTCAAATCTACAATTCCCTAATAAAACAAACAAGGTAGATTATTACAACCTTATTTCAAGAACGTTACAACTTTATATTAAGTTTTTCCTTTGATAAATGCAAGAGCAAATTAGCCATGGCAAAAAATAGCTATTTATTGCAATAGCCAACACCCCAACAGCTGGTTTTCCTTGCTTTTTACTGTGGAAATAACATGCTCAGAGTCATGGGCTACACAATCATTCCTTCACTAACTATCAAATTTGGATATGGAGAAACGCTATTTTCCTTTCCACTGTATCAAATGCCCCTTATGAAAGAAGGCGTGGTAGGGCCTGCAATTGGCTAGACTAGGGCTGGCCTTAGCCTTGTCTGGCCAAGTCTAATATAACTAGGGAAAAAAGGGAAACAAGGGTCGGACAGAGGTGGCCCAATTGTGGCCCTAGCCCAGTTGGATTCTATTGGTTGACAGGGGCTTGAACTACAACATGCAGCTCAGCATCTAGGATCAAACCATCATGGATGGCATTGTTTAATGTTACATCGACTCTCTCTCTCTCTCTCTCTCTTCATGTGTGTGAGTGATAATGCATGATGGTAACATCGCTGCAAGAATTGCTCCCACCCAGCTCTAATGGAATCTATTCCCCACAGAAATGGCACGAAAGACCAAATCAAACACCACAAAACCAGATCAAGAAACCACATAGAAAACACAAGCACCTCTAATTGTAAAATGAAGAATCACATTACCTCCCCAAATTCAGTGAATATACTCCACAAACCACACTAAATATTCAATATATACCGACCAAATTCGCCAAAAATTACCCCAACATCACTGCTCTCAAAAACCCACAAAAAGCCCATTATAATTCAGGGACCCTATGCTGACACTTCAGATGTTGCTGCTCTTTGTGCGGAAAAAATGGGGTTTTCATCTCTCGAAAACAAAACCGAGTTTCGAGTCCATATAATCAGACCAGCAAAAAAATGGCAGCTGAGGATGCCAGGAACCTGCATGCAGGGTTACTTGGTCATTTCAAATACTCAAACAAAAATTTCAATAAAAATTTGAGAAACCATGAAGAACAATCCAGGCCAAGTATGGCACAAGATGCAAATCAAAAACTGAATTTACGAAAGCAGCGCTGAATTTTGGTAGATGGTCAAGATTTTCAAGGAATGAACAGTCATCTCTACAATCCCATCTGGACCATCCACTGAAATCAACTTGAAATCCAAGTTCAACCAAGGTAAGTCAAGTCATAAAGCTAACTCCAGCAAAACTTGGGCACAAGGCAAAACAAGATAATTTCCTGAAAGTACTAAAGAGTTTTTAGATCTTACTGTTTATGTCTACAAAGCCCACAATACCATGTTACAGTGGAAGTGCCCCACCTTAGACAAAAGAAGGGATGCCACATTGTGTAACAAGGAAGGGGGTGAAAGCTTCTAAGAGTCTCGAGGCAAACTGCTAGATGTCAAAAGTGTTCCCTTGAAGCCTTCCTCCATGGGTTGCGGCTCCAACTTCTCTTGTGATAGCTCTTCTGCAATGCATCAAAAGAAAAATGCAACTCCAAGTTTATTCATGGAAGGTTCATTTGGCATGCTAACACCAGGGCTTTTTACAATAACAGCTGTTACAATAAACTATGGTGAATGCTATAACAATTAGCACTCCCCAAATCGTCTACTTTTCAAAGGGTGAGGGACCCATAAACGCTCCAAACAACTTGTAACACACACATGTAAATTTTGATTTGGAATGTAAAAGAAGCTCCAAATCCCACATAACAAAATATCCATCAAATAGACAGCACAGATTTGAGTGAAATCCAACAATTCGACTTAACCCTTGGAACCACAAAATATCCCCCCCCCCCACCCTCACCCTCACCCTCACCCTTTTTCTCTCTGTGCATGTCATATGCGTGTGCATCTGCGCATGTGCAAGCATGATAAATGGTTTCTCCATTCTCGCCTGAGATATCATAATGTTTTGGATTTTAGAGTGACGCGAATGACTATTCTTTGAGCAAATGCTTACTGGTGATATCCCAATCCACATGCACTTGGCCATTTCTTCCGTGCATCTATGTGTGTTTGTACACACGTGTTTTGTGTGTCATATTTTAAGTGAGCAAATAAAGGATTTCTCCAATCTTGTCTGAAATATCAGAATAGTTCATAGCAAATGACTAATCCTCAAACAAATGCTTACCAGCGATATCCCGATCGTCATGCACTTGGGTGTCAGTGACCCAAAGGGCATCCCCAGGTAATATATTCAAGTCAGCCAGAGTGAGAGATTCATCACTAATTTCCATCGTACCCTTGTGAAGACTCTGGTTCTCTTTTACAACCTGATGTGCAAGACGAGACGAGAGGAGATGGTCAGCTTTGTGATGTATGTGAAATCTTTGACATGATAAACAACAGCTATACTTATTTGTCTGCAATAGCATGCTCTACAAAGAAAAGGAAAAGAAACCATTTCACTCAAATCCATGAAAACTCAGTAAAATCGGTGCCTCACAGAAGTATCAATAACCAATCTTTTCCTTCAGCTTGAATCCCCCTATCCAAATAATATTATTGTGAAGTGATCAAAGGTTTTACCCTATTGGCTTCACAATCTAAATTTGAGGTGTCCCCATAAAATTTACAACAAATCCCATTATTTATTTTGGCACCCACTCCTGAATAACAATAGCTGAGTCATTATCAATGTCAGTATCTTTCAGCTTTTGTAGTTAAGTCAAAGGTCCACAACCCCTGAAAATTGTTTTTTTGCTTCAATCATTACCATCTATATAGATTAATCTTTGAAATTTATTATCATTGTAACAGGGGCGGTTTGTTGTCTGTACAGCAAGGCAATTTCTCATTGTTGTATTGAACATGCATTAGAATTGGGAACTGTGAGAAACCAACTGACCAATACCTTATCTAGGTCAACAGTTAAAACGATGAGTCATACAAGATTCCTGATATTGATGTGGATTGTGGAAGTTGCAGACAAAAATGAAGTTACCTGTCGAAATATATGCATATGCATAATGGTGTCTGAGTGTACATTATACCACAATTATGCATTAATAGGTCAATGTAAAATATGCTACGTATGTATATGTACACATTCATATATATATATCCATAAGCTTTCGTCCAGTCCATATGCATATATGTACATGCATGCATACATGAGCATAAAGGATATCTACGCATGCATGTATTACCCCAAGGCAAAGCATCACTCTAGCAGAGAGCCTTGGGTTTCCAAGGCGTGCACAATCACATCTCGGTTGCATCACTTGGCATGGTGTTCTATATTATATCTATCCAACAACGTGTCTTTGACTATGGATATTACTGCATATTTTAATTGCCATGTTTCTGACAAGTTCCCCAAGTGACAGGACAATCGTTATCCACTGAAAGAAGAAAGAACCAGCCTTTATTTTCAGATAGAATGTGCAGGCAGTTTGAAGGGTGATCCCCTCCAGTTGTAGAACTACACAGTCAAATACCGTGTAACAAAAACAAAAGGAAAGATAAAAGAGAAACTTCAAGATATCCCACATTGATCTCATTTTTACTTCTACCTTATAAATCTAAGACTCGTGTCATTTTTACTCCCAAGGAAGCTGCATGGTAAAATTGCCAGTATCATCCATATTGCTTTCCACTTTACAGGAGAAAATATAGCACATCGAGGTCAGCGTCACTTTATAAATAGGCATCTAAGAACTAGTTCTATTTGACTTCCATACATATCACCCAAGAAAATAATTGGTGATTGCTTCACTAAAGCTTTGACACAGGGGCTTTGACACAGGGATAGCCACAAGTTTGTGGTGGACAAACCCTTGATTGGTTCACTAAGGCTATGATTCTTGGACCAAACTCTCATCTTGTTGACCTATAAACCATGCTATAGTTCAAAATTCAAACATAAAATGGAGTATTTTATCTGACACATTCTTCACCTTTTCTCATACTTTATACATGAATGTGTCCAAAAGGTTTAACCTTGGTTGCCTAGATCAGTACAGGCTATTTACACCAATTTCATCCCATGTATACTACACATACTGAATAACGGATGTGGTGGGCTCTGTCAGACTTTTTCCGAAATTGGTGTTACTCCGGAATGGTATTTATGAAATTTTTTTGACAAAGAGGTATTTATGAAATAACCCCATTCTCAGCATGTTAATTTCTCGAAAACACCCTTTCTAAACATTTTATTAACCTATTAATACAAGCTCTTGCCCCACCCCTTAACCTCCACCATGCCCATTAAATATTTAATTATTACTACTCCTGAGCCATTAGATTGCGACACCTTGAAATCTCCTTAAAAAGAAACATAATAACTCTTGTTTAACTTAAGAGCATATATATTTTCTAATATTAATAAAAAAAATTAGTTAAAATATGTCATCATCATCATCATTACCATCCGAGCCTTATCCCAACTATAAGTTAAGATGCATAGTTACCATTAATGGAGAAACAAACTATTCTATTAACTAAATATTTATATTATGGATTATCGTGCAAAAGATAGCAGATGATGGCTCTCTTAAGAAGACTTTAAGACTTTTTAAGATTTTGATAGCTCGTTCCACCTTACATCTAGGAGTTTTGTTTTCATAATTGGAAATTACTTTCAAGCATCCTACTTGGTTTCTAAATCTTTCTTATACTATTTTTGTCTCGCACTTGTTACGCGCCCGTGCATCACACGGGCTGCATACTAATAAATGTGTATAAGGGAATTAATTCCTTGATTCCAAAAATGAAAATGATTTCCAGAACATCAAGCATGCTAGTCTTAACAGTGACTAAAGCATGCAAGCCCTAGACTATCAGATAAATATAGACAAGCAAATCAGTTCGAAGAGTAACTAAAAGGCAGACGGTCTCCATGCTGTTAACAGCCTCTTTCATCTCAATAAAATACAGTGTTTATTTTTAATCATGGTTATTAGATTTGCTCAGATTCGCCCAGAGATGCCAAAGCCTCCAAACAGAAGCAACACACGAGAAAAATGAAGCCTATGTTTCTTTTCCTTTAGCAATTGTTTACGCAAAAATTTTACTTCTTCCACTAATTCTTACATCTCCTGTCCAAAAATTTTTGTTTCATGTTTTAAACATTGAACTCGTTTCTTAAACTCACATCTCGTGAGATTTTGTAAAACTTATATTATTATGAATATATAATGTGGCTTTCTACAAATTAAAAAAAAAACTGACGCAGGTCGGGACTTGCTAGGGTCCCAAGCCCGAATAGGTGGACTGACTTTGCCGAGTCTCATTAAGGAAAACACAAAAGAATATGTATCATACCAACCAGACACTTACAAACTAAATTAGCATCTAGTAACTAAGTACACTATAGCATAAAGCCAAAATGCCAATAGTAAAGAGCCTAAAGTCGAAAGTACACAACATCCAAATACCAAAAGTTCGTCACATCAATGCTTAAAAAGATGACTAGACGAAAGTCCTAATCTCTAGGTTCAATCTCTTTATCCCTTGAAATTCAATTTCAAAGTTTCTAACATTTCTACATTTTGTAAGTTGTCTTCTTACTAGGTTTCTAGAATTGCAAGGCAACATCCAAAGACCAATAGAAATTTCAAGTTTTAGGTTTAATCTTCTTGCCCCTTGAAACCCTTTATTGCTTGATAAATCTTCATCAGAAATCCTTCAAAACATTTTACAGATTCAACTCTAAGTTTCTTCTGATAAATCTACAAATTTTGTAGAACTCTTGAAAAAAAAAAGACTGGAAAAACCGATTTTGAGTTTAATCACCTTAGAACCAAGAAAAATTGGCTCTAAGGGAGGGGGTGGGATTTACAATTGTGCTCCCACTCGTGACACTTTTCCGAGAGAATAAGGGGTTTCGTATGTCCACTATGTGCCAGCTCTGTGGGCGAATCTAGCAAGTCCACATAGGCAGCTATATGCAGTGCTACAAAAGGCCACACCACTTTGATGCGACTGCATAAAGCATGATGTAGCCGAACCTGATAAGTACGAAATAAACATATTGAAGCTTAAAAAGTGTGAGACTCAAGTGAGTCACATGGTATTAATAAGAGGATTCTATATGTTATAGGGTAATAAATCTCCCATACTTTGAGAAATTAAAAGGTTCAGAGATTTTGGGAGCATCCGAACATTTTTGGTAGCTTTCCATTCTATCAAATTTTATCTAGATTTCAGGGGTTTTACAACAGTCTTTCTTTTTTAATAAGTTTATGTTTTTTTGGGTGAATCAGTGACGAGAAGGTACCCTTAGTAGGAATTGGGCCTAGGACGTAGCATTGCAAATCATTAAGTGCTAACCAATTAATCACAACAAAATCTACCTCTGTTTGAAATTTGTAGGAATGCTTTCATACCATGACAAAACAGACCAGACTTGGACATGTTTGGGAGAGGCATATAACTCAAATCACCAAACCTCTCTAATTAGCACTTAAACAAAACACTTCTGCAGTTCTGCTCATGTGCCTAAAAGCTCCATTTACATATAAGCAAACTTGATGTATTGCAGATATTGGCTCCCAGCAAACAGCTAATTATGTTAGACTGACATATAAAGTCGCACTATCTGTGACTTAGACACCATCAAGACACGCCCTTTATATATTACAAAATAATGCACCAACCATGGTGCAAAACTTAGGGGTAAATGGGTTCATCTAAAAACATTTTACATTTTTTTCTTTATAATCTTATGTTTTTCCTTAATTTTACCAATGAAACTTCTTTGAATTTCTTCAGTAGAAAGCATAACCCGAAGTCTTCCCTTAAATTGGCCAAAAACCACAAATCTCCTCCCCAGCCATACAAAGCAGGCTACAAAACAAATCTGGCGTCAGTTGTTTTGACAGTTTCATTATCCAACAATCACTAGGAGGGAGAAGTACTCTGACTAATGGTTTCCTTGACTGCAGGCCCCTATTCGCCAGACGTGTTTTCACTTTTGGTATCCATGATTTGATAGATGGGGTAAAATGCAAAGAATATATTAGAATATGAAGGATCTATTTTATGTTGAAATAATATTTTGTAATTCTTCTACCTATCACAAATTTCAAACACACCCCAAAAGGCAACCTGTTCAACCAGTTGCTTGACTGGTTAATTGGAACTTTCTACCCATTAAGCCAGTTAGGCAACCACTTGAACACGATCATTTTGGGGCTTCTCCAAAATTTGTACATGGAAGAAAATGCATATGGAAGATTTTTGTTTCTCACAGGAATGCATAGAAAGTTCCACACACAGGATCAATATAACTTGAAATTTCTCTGAGCAAATTAATATTTATATAGCATTGCACAAAATTCACAAAGTCTTCCATCGAGTCATAGCAAGCACTCAATATGTGCAAGAACAACAAGCTCACCCCTAAGGATTCCCATATCATCATCTTCAACTGGTAGACTGAAGTAGAACCAGACACCTTTAAATTGACTGATTCACCAGCTGAGGTCCTTCGAGAGCGCTTGGAACAACGACGATCTGGTTCAGAATTGCCTCCAGAAGCAACTAGAAGAGACATTGGGGGCTCCTTTCCATGAACAAGATGAACACGGATATCTTCATTTTGGTAATTGAGTTTCTGCATCAAGTCACAGCATTCTTTTTCTCCAATGCACTCCTCGCATATCTGTTTATCAATTAAGAGAAAAAGCTTAAAATAGGAAATAAGAATCCATGAACCTATCAACACGATTCCCAAATGAAATGTTGATGACAGTACCATTTTTAAATACAACTGGTTCAGGCCCCCATTTGGATGCCCAACAACAAGTTGTTAAGAAATATGTGAAAAACCAGTTTTCTTTTTCTTATAATAGAGTTGGGGTCATTTTGGCAGTGTTTTGTTAATAAGAGGGGTTACAAAAGGGGCTCACCCATGAATGGTGGAGCGAATCAAGCTGCAGCATATTTCACTCCTAAATGGGTGGAGGGAAAAACCGCGCTATTCCTTTTTAAATTGTCCATACGGAGCTTTACAGTACAGTCTTATCTGTTGATGGGGCTTACCTCTGGATAAGTCTTAACAACAGGTTTTTTGGGCTCGAATGATTTTGGAATATCCATATCGGCTTCAGAAATTGGCATCTCAGAGCAAAACCCAACAGACTCATTTGACGTGCAATTGGTGAAATCAACCTCAGCATAAATACCTTTCTCCTCGGGAACTTCCCAATCTTCACAAAACAACTTCCAATCACTCTCTGAGATCATTGTCAAACCCTCTGCCTGGTACACGAAATAGCCAGATATATACATCATCAATTTTTTGGGCAAAAAGGAAGAAATCTCAAACCAAAAGAAAGCACATGCAAAAGCAAGAAGTCAACAGTTAATAGATTGATAATATTTCATTCTTATAATAACCATGAGTGCAGTCATCCTTATTTGGATTTCATTGCTGTTGATCTCCCCATTACAGTCTGCAAAGATGAGCCAAATACCAGTTCCAAACTCGAAATCAACAAAAACTAGTGCTTATTGTCAAAAACTTGAGTCGTCAATGAAAAGCACTAAGCTGCCAATCAGTAAAGGCAAAAGGGTGCCTTGAATAAAACGTGTCAGTGAAAGCAGCAATGACAAGTCCGAGCACAGCTGCTGAATATGTCTTAGCAAATAACACATCTGCTACATGAATTACTGGGAAGTACTTTAGTTACTTACATTTGACACTTTCTGAACAAAATCACCCCGCTTCTGCACAAGTTCAACAGGTCTCTGCAGCAATCGTGAATGCTGAAACCAACAAATGAACAAAGTTAGTAATGACTAATTAAATGAAAAGTTTCACCATTATACAAATGAAAAAGAGAAAACCCTCGAGAGAAAAGTACGCACAAGAAACATGCAATCACAACCAAACTACACCATGGCTAATCTTGGATAGCATATTCAATGCAAGTTATGACAAAGTTGAAATGTAATCAACTAAAAAGAGGGAAATGCACGAAGAATCTAATATCAAATAGTAATTTAACAGAACAATTCTGCGAATCCGATGATAAGATATTCAAGTGTGTCGGTGTCATGCACTAGTAAACAACTCTGTGTCTAGGTATCTTCGTATATCTAAATTTAATTACTGAGAACAAACAAGTATATGAGGCCTGATACAGTAAATGGACAGAAGTTAACATAACTATATTCATTTTATAAAGAAAAGAAAAAATAAGTTAACAATTGACAAAGACATGATATGTACAGCACCAAAAAAAAAGAAAAAAAAGAATGAACAAAAATATGCATGGCAAAACTCTGAGACTCGAGAATCTAATGTTTTGGCAGTTAAAGGTCAGCAAGCAAATTAAAAAATCAGATTCTCCATTTGTGGAATCAAAGATAGTTACAAAATAAATCTCCAATTACGCAGATCATCTAAGTTGAATAAGCATGACATGATATAACTGACCTTCTCACATTTAAGCATGTCAATACCGCCCTCTAAACTACCAGGCTCAGCAGCAGCAATAAGGTTCTTCCCACTTGCAGAAACATAGCCACGCCATCTACTCAACCATGAGGAAGGCAATAAGTAATATCTCTGATATGGAAATATTGGTATGCTTTTCCCAAGATATAACTGCTCATGTTTCTGTCGCTGCTCCAATTTGACTGCTCTGCGCCATTGACAAAGAAGTAAGACCTTTTTTTTCAGCCAGCTAAAGAAGCAAGACATCTTCAAAAAATCTACGCCTCAAAAATTGCAATCAACAAGCCAAAAGCTTCATCCACATTACTTGAGATGGTCCTCCAAGCAGGCAACTTCCGTCAGTTCCATACTGCATGTTGTACAATCTTCTGTATTAGAATGAAAGGCAGTGTGACGCAGAGAATCCTCAGGTTCCACCTCTTTGGCATTTTCCAGAAAAAAAAACCAAAGACTCGCAGGGATTAACTGCCGCTTTGTTCCAGCTTTTTCTGGCATGAGTCCTCCATGAGAACATCGAAGTGCAGCCGTTGGTCCACTATCACCATCACATGGAGAATCAACATTTTTTCTACGTATCCATTGCAGCAACCTAAAACACAGATGATGCTTGATGAACACAAATGAATATTGACCTATATTCCAAATAAATAAATAAATAAATAAGAAGGATAACACACAAAACCATAAAAATGACAATCAAATTCAAAGAAGGGAAAACATACCATGATCGAGATACATAATACAAAGGACCCTCAAAATATTTCCCAGCAAGAACAGATTCTGCAAGTTCTTTCATGGTTGCCCTCCGATCCCTATAGTTATCAGCGGAAACAACACTCTTCGCGAAATCTCTCATGCAATCGACACAGTAATCACTGCCACTTAATGTCAGGCCCCCTCCATACTGAACATAAAACGGCACCCCATGAATATCAAGGTAAGTGACAAATATATAAATATATGTACAATAAAAAAAGAACTAAACTAGAAAGTAAAGGATGGACATAAACAATGGCCATGTAGTCAACCAAGCTTTTTATTATTTCATATGGTATAGCCAACCAGGCCTTTAATCTAATGGCAAGGCACCCAGATTGTAAAGAAGTCTCGGGGTTTAACTTCCCTTGTGCAAACCAAGCTCACCAACCCAAAAAGAAGAACTAGTGCTAATGTCCAGCATAAAGCACTAAACTTTGTCAGAGAACAAATTTGCTGAAACAATTCAAATACACCATTACAAAAGTAGAATGACGTCCAGAATGATCAACAACTTAAGCTTCATATTTAGACAGCAGAATCTGATAACCTGAGAGTGAACACATGGAAAAAATAAGCACCCCAAGTAATAGATCATATTCAAACTCTCTCCTACAGTTCCTCCAGCTAAAAGATAAAACATTGAGAAGGAGGATCAGTTGCTTTTCTACAAAGAATCGAAAATACTCTGGCAGAACCTCAACTTAACATTTGAGGGTTCAAGAGGAAAGGCATAAGAACACAAATTTAGGGCATAAGAAATTAAATCACGGTAAGCATAAAAGAAATTTCCCAACTACCAACTCATTTAGAATTGAAGTTCATATGAGATGTAAAAAACTGATGTTATGCTACCAGTTCTGAGTACATCAGTGGACACCTTTGAGAGCAACTTGGTCCAAGCTGCTTCTGAGATCCTCTTTGCACAGCTAATCTTTGAAATAGGTAGCTTTCCATGTGAGCACAGAATCGATGAATTGTCTATGCAACTGAATAAGAAACAGAGTCTGAATGAGAACTGAAAGGAGGATTGTTTAACACATGAATTATGAAATAAACACAGGTCCTAACTACATCACTTTACGACAAATAACTTTTACAGAAATGGATTTGGCAACATTCTGGTGTTGTAGTAAAGTGGGCAAACATAAAAGAAAAAGTATTGATGTCGTACAACACTTACAAAACAGAAAAAATTAGAATGAAATTGATCCTAACTAAAAGATTATAATAAATTAATTTAAACCAAGACTTACTGGGCCAACCAGCCCTGATTCTATAACATGTTGGACCAGCACAAGTACTAACTACATCACTTTATGACAAATAACTTCTACAGAAATGGATTTGGCAACATTCTGGTGTTGTAGTAAAGTGGGCAAACATGAAAGAAAACATAAGATGCTGTACAACACTTACAAAACAGAAAAAATTAGAATGAAATTGATCCTAACTCAAAGATTATAATAAATTAATTCAAAACAAGACTTCCTGGACCAACCAGCCCTGATTCTATAACATGTTGGACCAGCACAACAAATAAAACATAGAAGTGCCCCTAAAATTCGATGAGATTCTTTGTTTGATAGGTGACTTTCATATTGATCTAAGGAAAGATATAATAGGCACATCATAAAGTTAGAATCCCCAGGATGGGAAACAACCTCAAATACTTAACCTCTCCTACTAAACCCCGGGCTGTACCAAAGAATCTAGATCAGCATACTGCCTGTTTTTTTTTTTTTGTGAGAAAATATTTGACTTGTATTCAGCAGTAGATTTTGTTGACATAGTTACAAAAAACGGCAAACCACATCCCAAGTGCTATACATAGATAAGTTATCAAAACATGGGGCCTATACATCCCCTAAAATAAAAAAAGGTCGGTCTGATGCTCATCAAGTAAAGAATCAGAATCCCACAGTTAATAAAAACAGGTGGGAATACAGCCTCCACGGGGAGAGCTGACAAGCTAGGTCTAGGTGATTCCTGTGGCTCCTCCTGCAGTGCCCTTCTTCATGAGAGACTTAGCAGGTCTGGTTGGCATCACATCAGACGTGTTTGTTACCCAAGATTCCTGCAAAGGTAGAAGATCTGATCAAACAAGTGGGCCAGTCTCTGAGGGCATAGGGGCCTCTTCAAGGCCCATAGGATTATATTTTTTGAGCCATCCTACATTTTAAGGGTGCCTCTAATGTTGCCCATTCGGACAACCCTTTTAGGTGGGTTGCAATGTATTCAGCTGTTGTTGAGTCAATGCTGATTTGTCCAGAGTAGGAGAGGTTGGTGTTGCCACAGCTGTATCCTGAGACTCCCCAAAACCATATCGGCATGGTTGACAAAGGAATAACTGTTAACATTTAGTTTCGTGGCCCCTGATTCCAGAGGTCTCCAAAGGCTTGATTGGGCGATCGTAGTTGGATGGAAGAAGATAATGCCTCACCAATTTAGTGACGAGGTCAATAACCAAGTGTTGTATGAGACCTTTAACTTCTTTTGGACAAAAAATGGTGGAAGTCCTAACTCACTCTTTAATGGCTCAGATGGGGGATGCCTTCAAAAAATCCGACAGTGTCGTTCCTTCCAGATGAACCGGCCAATGGCCAGCACTGAAGCTCTCTGTAGGAAGAAGCCTGATGCTAGGTATGGTGGTGAAAAGGAACCCCGGAACACTTGCTTATCAAGAAGGGGGTAGTCCAACCCTCCACGCCCAACCAAACAAGAAGTGGGGACCGGGGAGGACCATATGCTAGTGGTGACTAAGCAATGAAGAAAAAGGTGGCCATGTTTTTCCTTCGCTAATTTACACAAGCCAATTTCTTAAATGGAAGCGTCTCTTTTGGTGTTGGTCGATGGTGAGGCCTTGTTGGATAGAACAATCCAAAGTAAGGTTTGGATATTTGGGGGGACAGGGATCTTTCATACTTTGCTTGAAACGGCCTGGGTAGTCCATTTTGGGAGAGTGCATTGTAGAAGGATGAGACTGAGAGGTTGCTTGAATTGCGCGGGGCCCAAATTCAGCTATTTGGTCCTGCTCGTGCTAGGAGTAAAGCTTGGAGTTGATCGAGCATAGCAACTAAGTTCTTTGTTTCTCCATCCTTCAAAGGCCTTCTGAAGGAAGAACCCAGATAGTAGTGCAATGGCCTCATACGATTTTGAGATCATAGCACCAGGGTTAGCTGCCATTTGCAGGAGTTGAGGCCAATAATTCCCCAAAGTGGAACGCTAACCATAGGTCCTTCCAAAACCCACTCCTATCACCAATCATGGCTTTAATCTAATTACTAAAAACCTTTTTATCTTTGTTTATCTTTCATTTAAGATATTGGAACCAGTTTGTATGGCCATTATTGCCATTTTTCTAATTTCATTAGTACAAAAAAGACTTGAGAGGTGTGTGAGACCATATTAGACTCCCATGTCACTTTCTCTTCTTCATCCTCTTGTCTTTTCCTCTCTCTCTCTCTCTCTCTTTCAAAGCAATTGATCCTTCTGCCCTCTTGCTATTCATCCTTTTTTCCATCTTGCTCTGCTCCTCTACTCTACATTTTTTTTACTGCCTGAGCAGTTTTAACCCAAACTCTAGGATCAATTCTTGCGGTGTGTGATTAAAAAAAGAAAAAAGACTATTGTTACTTCATACGGCTGATTGGTCTAAACCCTAGGGTGGTTTCCTAGGGTTGTGGTGATCCTCTTTAAAGATCGAGACCAATGAGAAATCGTCACCAAGCTTCGAGCTAGTGAGCAACCGCAGATGAATCGCACGAGTTTTCTCTCAAAAAACCTGAGTGTTTCGTGTATATAATTGTTGCCCTAGTATAGTCAAAGGGTGGTGGCAGTGTGGTGATGTCTCCTTTTATTTTTTATTTCATACACTCATGGCTAATGAAATTAAACCCGGAACCTTCAATCTTCCTGAACATGTGAGGTTATAAATTATTATAGTAAATTAAATAGTCCCAATTATGTTGTATGGACTCAATCTGTTAAAATATCCCATGCTACCAAGGCGAATTGAATTACTTGACTAAGTTCAAGCCTAGTGAATCAAATGGTCGATATGAAGAATGGATGAGAGAGAATTACATCATGACTTGGTTGTGTAGTAGTATAGAACCTCTAATAAGTGCAAATGTGATGTCTCTTGACACTGCTAGAGGAATTTAGAACACTCTAAAAGAAACATATTCATCAAATAAGAACATCTCTCGGGTATATGAATTCTTTGAGAGAAAATTTTCATTGCCAAAGGGTAACAAGAGTGAATATTATAGTGCCCTTGGAGGTATATGGGAAGAATTGAATCAGTATCAGCATATATCTAGTGATGTGGAATTACAGAGAAAACAGCATGAACAATTCAGAGTTACCAAAATTTTATCTTAGTCTTAATCCTAACTACCATCCTATTTGTAAACAAATTTTGGCATGCAATGAAATACTATCCCTTAATAATGTGTATGCGCGCATTCAATGTGTCAATATATTTGCCTCTCCTACGCCTTTTTTTATTCAAATGTTAGTGATGGATCGACATTGAATACATTTGTGGGAGAGGTGATGGAGGCCGAGGTTGGGGACATGATCATTACTCAGGAAGAGGTCGTGGTAAAGGTGATGGCGGGAGGAGGGGTTGTGGAACTTGAAAATATATGTATTATGGGCATACACTAATCCACATTATATGATAAGTGTTGGGATAAGGTTGGTAAGCCTGCTTAGGCAAATCAGGTTAAATATTTGAAAGTTATCATCATCATAGACTTTTCCCAATTATTTTGGATCGGCTACACGAATCCTGGTTTGCCATTCTACTCTATTAAGCGTTATACCGTCAGTGAGGCCATAAGTCCCCATATCTTTTCTCACTACTTCCAGCCAAGTCTTTTTGAGTCAGCCTTCTACTTGAACCAAGTTGCACCTCTTAACAGGTGTTGTACTCACCCAAGTCTTACTTTCTATTATCTTATCGCTTTTTGGAGCCACACCTAAGTTATCCTGAATGCATTCATTTTGAAATCTATCCTTCTAGTCTTGCCAATCATCCATCTCAACATCCTTATCTCAGTTACACTCATCTTATGAGTATGTTGTTTCTTGAACATCCAATATTCCATCCTGTAAAGCAATGCTAGTCCCACAACCATCCTATAGAAATTCCCCTTCAGCTTCATTCGTATGCATCAATCACATAAAGCTCCAGTTGTAAATCTCCACTTCGCCCACCCAACTCTAATTCTATGTGCGACATCTTCCTCATTTCCTGGATTATCCACCCAAGATATAAAAAATGTGCTCTCCGCTACGCCCGTCGTTCTTCTCTATCAAGGCTACACATCTGAGGATGATGATGTTTATCTTAATGGACCTAGTGATCATCATCAACAATCAAATTTTGTTGGTGACTTTCTTGTGCTTCAAGAAAAGAATATAATAAATTGATTAGATAAGTACGACAACCTACTTTCCACCATTCCACCTCCACTACCACTTTTGCTAACTAAGGTACTTACGTGCTTCTTACTCCTTAGGTCATTGACTCAGGAGCTTCCGACCACATGACTTGCACATCCTCTATTTTTGTATCCCTAGATAAATGTATCCATGATTCTTATGTTACTTTGATTGATGGATCAATGTCTATTGTGTCCAGACAAAGCACAATTGTGCCTACTTCTTCCTTTCTCTGCCCTCTGTGCTATATGTTCCAAAATTTCCTTTCAGTTTGTTGTCTGCGAGTAGATCAACTATATCTCTTCACTGCTCAAATTTTTATCGTTCTTCTTGTATCTTTATGGATCTAAGGACAAGGAGGATTGGCGGCAGTTGTGAGTCAGGTGGCCCATACTATTTGGATCATAACATGATTGGTGCTGCTCCATCTTATGGTATTGTCAGTTAACATGATTGGTAGAAGCTATGAGTCAGGTGGCCCGTACTATTTGGATCATAACATGATTGGTGCTGCTCCTTCTTATGGCATTGTCAGTTGGGTCATCTTTCTCTTAATAACTTGAAGTTGTTAGTGCCTTCTTTAGACTTATTGTCTACTTTAGACTGTGAAGATTATCAATAAGGCAAGCATTATAGGTTGTCATTTTGTCTTAGAATTGATAAACGAAGACCTACTTTGTTTGCAGTCATTCATATTGATATCTGGGGCACTGTTAAAGTACAAAGTTTGTCTAATCATGGATATTTTGTAACTTTTGTGGATGATTATTCACAAATGACATGGTTATATTTAATAAAAGAAAGATCATATCTTCTCCATGTTTAAATTATGTCACATTCAATAAGTATGTGTGTGTTTTATGTTTTGACAATGCTAGAGAGTATCATTCAAGAGAACTTCAAAATTCTTTTCCTCAAAATAGAATTTTACATCAAACTTCTTGTGAAAAATCAACATTTACCTCTACTAATTAATATGCATGTTTCAAAAGTTTACTAGGAGCATTTCAGCAGCCATTCAAGCAAGATGGATAGAAAGACTTTATGAATCAAGAGGAAGAAGAAAAAATCTGAAAATGGAAATGCATTGAAAGGAGATGATGGGAAACTATTGTGAAATCTGTCAAGGGAAGAGTCAATCTTCCACAGGATACTTCGGTGTAAAGAACCAAATAATATTCTTAGTCACCCTTCTCTAGGGCATTGTGGGTTGCCACGCCATCAAATACAGGAGGATTATAACCAATGTGCAAAGTTTAGTGCCCCAAACTGATATCAAACATAGAAATACACATCTGAAACTACTTTCCACTAGCCAATAATGTTACCGCATATCCTAAAGAAAAAGGATTAAGTCAATGATTTTAGTCAAGCCATTCCGAAGTAAGCATATACACCATGTGTAACTACTTTCTCATTAACATTAGTGAGGTTACTACCATGTGAAGTTGTTTATATACAAATTGTTTCCAAGCTAACAAGAAAACGTTAAAACAGATCTATGAATGCCATATTGTGTAATAATTTTTGTTCTGATATGCAAAGACTAACTTCCTCACCCATCTAAAAATTAACATATGTAGCCAGTGCACTTTCCAAACACAATATGGAATTAGTTACAAACTTCCAAAGGATATCTTAGCCAGTGTTCGCAAAATCGAACCTGAACGGTTAACCGGACATGGGGCTAGGAGCGGTTAGAACCGAAACCGGACTAACCGGTCAAGTAGATTTTTTTTTTTAAATGGGTCAAAAACCCCCAAAAAAAATTCAAAAATAAAAACAAAAATAGAACAACTTAGATTAAGTGCATAATATCTTATTACATACATTTGTCTTACAAAACAAATAATTGAAACAACTTTTTATATAAATTAATATTTGAATACTATGGTCATGTACATGATCCCAAGTAGGTCACATTTTTTGTTTCCTAGAATGAAGTCTGATAATAAGTTTACAACACCTTACCACAAATGTAGGCCGAAACATTACATTAGTCTATGCTTTTACTAAAAACTATAAGCACACATATGTTTATGCACTCCAGTTTCAAGTTTTACAACACTTCAAAATACTGCTAATCATAATTAGAAACAATGGAAAAGAAATGGATCCACCAACTTTTACTTGTCCATCTAGAATTTCATCTCTAAAAGACAAGATGTCACAAAGTAGAGGGGCCGCTACTTATAGTTTTGTCAAATTACTAAAAAAATTTATTTTTATCAAAATAAATAATTTTTTCAAAACATATTATTTTATTAAAACAATTAGAAAAACACTTCCCATACTCATAAAAAATAATCATTTTATTAAGCAAAATATATTTTTTTCTTAATAATCGATTTCTCAAAAACTCCTAAAATCAAGCAACATTTCAAGCAATAAACAACTCACAATGTTCGGCTAACCAAACAAATCAACACACAAGCACTGTAAAGGCTTCGATCACCCTTTCAAATGCACCAAAAGTCATAAAAAAATATCCGGCATTTTTTATTTAATTGAACAATCGTAGAAAATTCAGATCTGTGAAATCGAGAGAAAAAATTCATATAAAAATATTTATTCAATAATAAATAAGCATACCTATTTTATGTGATAGATGAAGCCTTGATGATCAAAATACACAAATCAATTTAATTGAAAAATCGTAGAAAATTCAGATCTGTGAAATCGAGCAAGAAAAAAATTCATATAAAAATATTTATTCTATAATAAATAAGCATACCTATTTTATGTGATAGATGAAGCCTTGATAATCAAAATACACAAATCAATTTGTTAAAAAAGACCAAAAAATCGATACAAAATCTGTTTGTTTTTATCTAACATAGGTTCTTCGAGCAGCAGCTTTTTGGGCAAAAATCAACCCCCAATATTTTGTTTTTTGAACAAATTAAAAGAGGTATATGGTAGATGATTTTATTAGGATTAAAAACCCTCAAATTTCAGCAAAAACCATTGGCTATTGAAGATGGTATTGATGAAATGGCGGAAATTTCAAAAGGCATGAAATTCCGCCATTTCAATCCACAAAATCTTTTGATTTTTCAATCTTTGATTCGAATTTGCTTGTTCTAAAGACAATATATAGTGTTTTACAGCCATAAAGCATGAAAAACACCAAAAAATGGCAGGAAAAAGAATAAAAAAAGCTAGAAAAATTTTATTTGTGAATTCCTGCATCAAATAACGACTTCAATTGAAAATAACGGGCGTTAATTTATCTATAAAACCCGTTATATCCACTAACCGGTCCGGTTAGCAGCAAAACCGGCTGGTTTGACCAAAAACAAGGCTAGTTTGACCAAAAACACGGCTGGTTCGACCCCTAACTGGCCAGTTTTGGGCCTGAAATTTTATGGGGTAGTACCCTAGGCTAGGAGATCCCCAAAACCACCCCTAACTGGACTCAGAACCCTAGCGGTTCCGAGCTAACCTGCCGGTTCCGGTTCTAATCGGCCGGTTTTTCTAACAATGATCTCAACCACCCATCAAAAAAATAAACACGTTGGACCAGGACTATATTTGGTACATCTTCACATTCAGCTTAATTGCAAATAATCACCCATAAAAACCAAAAGTATGGAAAATAAATAATTCACTTACAGAGGGTTGATATCATCAGCCCAGTGACGAAGCCAATCTACAGATATCCAGCAGTATGAATTGTCAATTGAAGGAACAGGAGCCTCAGTAAGAATTGATCTCACTTCATTTTTACGTTCCTTAATTTTCCGCATCTCATTTTCCTGTTTTATCCTATATTCTTTACAAGTATATTCAAACTGTTTATTTAGTTCTTCCATCTCCCCAGAAAGATGACAAGGTAGGGAACTACCATCCACCTGGGACATGGCAGTTCCATCAAAATCCTTACACTCTACATCTGCACCAGCCGGGGGTGTATCTCCATCATTTCTATTATTTCTTCTACTATACATCAGCATGTATGAATCAGCAGATGAATAAACATCATCTAAAAGTGGCAATTGTATAATATTCTCATCAGAAAAATCAGGTTGCACAACTTCCTCAGGCACATCAGATGAATTACTGGATTCTTCACCAAAAGGATGTAGCCCCAACTTCGAGACATGCTCATCATCAAACTCCCACCAAATACCACTACCTTCTTCCTTAATGTGAGCAACATAATGGCCACTATTAACCGCAGTTCCTTTGTGCATCAGTATAGCAGAAAGATCATACATTAGATTCCCTGATTGAGAAGTATCACTGAGTCGGTTTGCCATGTTCAAATATTTTGGGAAAGCAAACTTTGATGTAATTTTTTTCCTCGTTGTCGTCTGCAAAATAAAAGAAGCAGCAATATGAACATCAAAAAAGATAAATAGCAGCACTGGGAACTGTTTGAGCTATGCAACCTTGGAAGGCCATGTCATAAAGCACATAAGACTAACATTTGAAGAAAATAAACGACTTACAGCTAATGGGAACATGAGTCTAAGAGTGACCTCAAATTAAGATGAAGTACCTTGGGCAGAAAAATATAACGCTTCAGCTGAAAATTAAGGACAGAAGGCAGAGTGCGAAGTTTGATGCAACGGGTAGCATCAACCCGTGATTGGCACGACTCACAGAAGTACTGATTTTCCCCATGTAGTTCCTCCATGCTGAAGTAATCATCCAAGCTCTTATCCAAATTATTCAATCCTTTGATGTTCAATTCAAGTCCTAGAAAATCTTCCATCTTTGAAGACGATTCCGAGTCTTTCCCACACAAAGAACACCTGTACAAAACATCATGTACAGCATAAATCATTTGTCACACAAATCCTTACATACAGTGATCTCCATTTCAAAATAATAAACCACATGAACCATTATGCTTGTACTCAAATCATGAAATAGTATCCAAGGTGAAGAGAATCTAAGAAATGGCCAAGACAAAAATCAACGGACGATAAATCACTACAGTACACCAAAGGAACTGCTTGGCCAAAAATCAATGGACAATAAATCTCTACAGTACACCAAAAGTACTGCTTTATTCCATTCACTTGCATCACAGAGCAGACTAAAAAATATGAGCTACCTGCAGAAATTTAAAGCAGCAGGATAAGCATCAGTGTCAGCCATTACATCCGCGTTATAAGTCAAATGAGCCCAGGAATGTCACCAAAAAAGAACAAAGGGAAACCACACATGAACATGAAAAAGAAGCCAATGTTCGTTTATGAAATCTATTTACAAACTAATGAGAAGGACAATCCTGTAATCATAAATGTACCCTTTCTTTCCAATACGAATATGCCATTTAAAACAAAGAGCATAACTAGAGCGTGTTTTTCTATTTATTTATTTACAAGGGTTTAAAAGACACAGAATAGGAGCGAAACAAGCTGAAGATTATATACTGACAATATGAAGACCAGAGAGAAAAATAAAACTGACAAGCAAGTTTACAGAATTGTCTAGGTTTGTATTTAATTGAATTCATTAAGACAAAAAAGATCCATCAGATCAAAATAATAAACATTAAACACACTTCGCACAAGGTGAGAGAACAACTTAAAATAGAAAACTCCCTCAGCTCCATTCAATCCACCAAACTACCAATATGTAGTTAACATTGAGCATGCCCTAGATTCAAGATAAGCAACGTCAATGTCCACATAATAGGATGGCGCTAATTCCAATAAGCTGCTTTTCCAGTGTCGTCAAGAAGTGAGGTTCTTGATTAGAGGTTTATGCTAAGTGACGTTCTCAATTAGAGGCTTATGCTACAATGACTGCCAGTTTGTTACTACACAAGAGGGAGTTAAGGGAGGTGAACAAACTATGCTAGATCAGTCAGCAGTCAGGGCAAGCTGCAAGGTGTGATCAATGACTATAACTTGGAGAAGATATTTAGGGCAATGAAATCACTTTCATCCTTAAGTGGTGACAGGAGGTGAAGAGGGAACAGGAAACTCTTTCTCTTAGGTTTATGCATGGCAATTCCCATCAAAAGCCACTGACAGCAGCCATGTTAAGGACAACAATCCACAAAGATAATGCATGGGAAGGTATGTAATTAAATGCTATCAGCAAGTGATATATGATAGGTGATTCAAAGCGTCAATAAAAGGGTATTTAACTTTCACGTTGTTAAAATTGGGTCTTAAAGTGATAAATTGGCCTTGATACTCAGTCAGTTCCTTTCTAAGAGTATGGCCCAGATAACTGATATGAGAATGCGTCCATGGGCAGGTCAAGTTCCCACCTCAATACAGGTTGAGTTTGTAGTATGCGGGTTTCCCTCGCCACACTGTAATATTGCCTTGGATGTACAATTTATGAAGAGTCACTCTTACAACTAGTTTTTACATCAAGCTTAGGAGAAAAACTATAAAAATAAACAACCAAATCACATGGAATTGCCTGTGGCTGCTCTGCCTAATTTCAATATATTGATAATAAGCAATCAAATATTTGTGTTACCGTGTAACATGAGATATGCTTCCACGAAACAAATCTTGAACAACTGTTCTTGCCTTGGGAACCTTTGAATGGCCAAGACAGCTCTCTAGTAAGGAAAGTAACAAGGTAAAGAACTCATGGCTGTCTTGCTGTACACCATTGTCAAGCTCCAAAGTCTTTATAAATGCAGCTGAGTCAACAGCTGCCCTCTTGCTGGAATGCAACTGTGCAAATAGCCTTGAAAGTTCATACAACACAGGATGCTGCTTCAAAAGATCGAGTTCAACTGAGAAAATACCAGCCCTGAATGCTGTATTCATATAAAGGCACTGTAATATACTATTCGCATAGCACGTGGCACCCAAGTTTGTCAAGCCTGCAGGTACTTTAGAATCACGAAAATCCTTACAAGGATCAGGGCCAAGGGCTAGAATATGGTCCGACAACCTTTGCCATAAACCAGTCTTTCTAGATCCACTTGGGGGTGGGATGAGACCACAAAAGCAGTTTGGGGAGTCCTTAGTATTCACACGGCAACCTTGACATATGGGTTTCTCAATCTGATACAATACACGAATGTCATCTTGCGTGACCTCTCCAGTTGAATTTATTTTCCTACAATATAAATTGGGTTATTTAGTTCATTATCCTGGAAATATCAAACTCTTGGAGCCAGCAAGCCTGAGTACAACTTTTTTCTCACCTCAAAATCTCGGAGCCAGTGTCCTCGCTGTGGAGCTTTTGCTTTTTGTTCTTGCCACGTGTAGTAGCCCCACTCATTCTATCGCCAACTGAAGAAAAGCAACTCAACAAGGATATCTAAGACTCATTTACCCTTAATTCTCCAGAAAGCAAAGTGGTGAAAGTCACGAGGCTGTGCTGGCCCACCTTAATACCAGATGCACAATTCAGTTTTTAGGCTTCAAGGCTATTTCAATAAGCCACTCATCTTCATGAGCCACTACATCACCACTTTGTCTCTCAGTTTTCATGCCAACAGAGTAATTTTCTCTGCCGGGGGCGAAAGCTACCAATGGCTAACTCGTGTCCATCAGAATATAGTTCGCCCTCGTTTTGGAATCCACTGTAAATAAATTTATCTCAGAAATTAGAACATGGAAAGAATGGACTAAAGGTCAGAAAAAAGCAAAAAACATATGCAATTATTGGGAAACAATCAAAGGGAGTTAACATTGGAATGAACAAAAGAAAGGAAAAGAAAAAATCCACCTCCCCGCAAGAAACAGGATCAAATTCAAAATAGATGCTGAACTTCAGGGAAAAAGAAACCTGTTCCTCTGAACAATGACACTCTGTAACTGAATCACTAAATTATGATTACAATCCATAAAACTGTGTATGTGGCTCAAGATATTGTACATTTTGCATCTAGAACCAGTTACCAGCCAAGATACAAAAAATTTTGTGCCTAAGCCACCCGTCTCCATCCCCAACAAGGAATGAGGATAAGAGGGAAAGAGAAATAGCCCCAAGGCCTGGGTGGTCAAGGTAGCAGAGACACAACATGACATTGCGGGTTCCATTCCTACCTACTATATTTACCCCTCAACATGTTAAAAAAAGGGGACATGAGGGAAATAAATGGCTTAGGGAATTAATTTCTAGCCACCAAGATTCATTAATAAAATGGAAGTGATTAATCTCAGTAAAATCTTAAACACAATGGCATATCTGTCTACAATTTTGCAAATTTGGCTAAATCCGGTTAAGCCTAATTTGAACCATACCACATGATTTCTTCTACTTTCTTCTATCAGGAGGACTTCGTGTTAATTATGTGAGGACAGCAATATGAAATGTACTTAAGCTTTCAAAAATTCCACCAAGAAACCATGAATAATTTCAAAATTTTGTAGGAAATCATGAGAAGAAATTTCCAATAAAAATAAAAAGAAAACAAAAAATAACACACCTAGAACTAAGAAAGTGTGCATGGAGTTGGTCAAGGATATGCAAACCAAACATGTGAATTACTAAGAATCGAAGAATATGTTGATGAATAAGCCCAAATCCTCAAAATAATGACTTATATTGTAAGCTACAGACAACAATAAATATGTTTAAAATTAACAGAAATTAATGAAAAACGAAAACACCAGATGCAAGAATGTAATGGAACAATAATGCAATAATTTTACTATCAAACCCTATGACCTATGAAATGTAGGTAAAGAACCTCAGAAAATCTAAAATCCAAAAAAGATGCCACAAATTAGATGGCCTAAGTGACCTATATGCATCAAAACAAAAAAGTAAAGTGATCAATGACTATAACCTTTCTTTCTTCTGTGAAAATGAGCTTTTCACAGACTAGATTCCACTGAAAAAAACTCAATTCCAATGTGGTGGAACTAGATAGATATGAATGTGATTAGTCTAAATAAGCTTTAAAATGGATATCAATTGTTTTGCTTTGTTTTAGTTATAGGCAGGCCAAAACCGTCATATAGTAGCCATGTGTTGGAACAAATTCCCCTGAATCAATCGGGCCATATCATAGTTGAAGAATTCACATTTCTGACTTTCTTGTGTACAAACCATCTGTTTAAATGATAATTGGACTTAAATTTCAGTAAATAAACCCTGAAATGATTTCGTAGAAAGATACACAGAAGGAATCCAAACATAAAAAGACCCTTTTCTTTATTAATTGAGCAGTTTCATCAAAATTAAGAATAAAAATCGAAAGGAGCTAGGTTCTCCTTCCATGAACGTATTTTCTCACCCATTTTTTAAGCCAATTTGAAACGAACCAAGGAATTGGTAAAAAAAAAAAAAAAGTGCGAACAAAACAAACAAAAAATCCAAGAACTGGAAGAAAATGAGGCCTGGCAAGGAAAATTACACAGCTAAACAATCAAATTAGTTCAAAAACATGCAATGAACTATAACCAAAAATTTCAAAGCAACATGAGAACCAAGATGAATAACTCACATAAAAATAAAAAATTAACAAATCAGGAAACCAAGAACTTTGCCACCAAAGGGCATAAAACCTCAAGAGCCCTAAAATGCCAAAGACAAATTTCCAGGTCAACACTCTATACACTGCAGAACGTGCACGGAAAGTGCTGAAATCCACCAAAAAAATACAAACGCGAATGTCTAGGGCAAAAAGAAAGGCAGAGGGAGAGGGAGAAAAAAAAAAAAAAAAACAAGAGCAAGCAAAAAAAAAGAGTAAGAGAGAGTTCTTACAGTGATCTTTAACGGAGGACACACAAAAAAAACCCTAGTTACTGGAGCAAGCTTCTTCTGGCACAAGAAGTATGAGCAAATGGAATGGAAACCATGAGAGAGAAAGAGAGATTTTAGAGAGAAGGAGGGCAGGCATTTAATGGGGAAGCGTTACTTTGTATGTATGGGTTTCTCACTCTAAAAATAGAGTGTTTCTCTCTCTAAAAATAGAGCGTGCGTGCAATCTGGGGAGGGACCGAAAAATATAAGGTTCCCGCCAACGACCCAACTACCACGTAAGACGCCACTGCTGCGTCCAGCTCAGCTCGCTCCCGTACCGCTACTGAAAGTTTTCAAGTACAGGCAAACAGGACAGTTGATAAATAACGGCGTTTCCATCTGTTTGAAATTTGAATAGGCCCAAAGGCCCGAAATTAATGGTGTCCTGGCCCGCCTCTCAACCCTGCCCCGAAAAATCAAGGCCTGGCCAATAAAATGTGGCTCGAGGGCTAGGCTAGGTCTGTCAAGGCCTGGGCCATAGTTGGTGTGGCTTGGTTAGGCCTGGCTCGACTTAGGCTTGACTCGTTGCCAGCCCTAGCCCGAAGAAAGTCGAGCAAATAATTATGTGGTTTGTATAAAAGTATGTATACTGCTAAATCCTACTAAAATATGCAGTTTGGACATAAAAAACACATATGATAATCTAAATATCTATTTTTACTTTTAATTATGAAATTTAAAACTTTACCATGAATATTTCAAATATATATATATATATAATTTAAAGCTCTAAAAATGTGTAGGCCAAGCAAATGTATAAACGCTTGGAAAATTTATAAATAGACAATCTAAATAATATGTTACATAGTGCATTCTTTTTAGGACTTGAAAACATTTTTGTTCATATCGATTCAACTTGCAGTGGAGCTTATCAATTATAAGGGTCTTTTCATGTCAGAACGATATTTTTCGCTGGATTTTTGAAATGCGCCTTAGTTCACAGCTTAAGGTTAAACACCTTTGATAAAACTTTTTCCAATCAAAAAATATATCAAGTTTAAAAGGCAATAATAATCTAACAGTATCCAAACTAACAACAAGAGTAAATACCACTTAGTAGTCAATCTCGACTCGTTGCTTGTAACCTTTGGCGACTAATCCTGCTTTGTATCTCTCCACTGCACCCTTTTCATTCTTGTTTGCTTTATAAACCTATTTCACATCAATTGCTTTATATTTATTTATAAGTTATGTAAGCTCCCATGTGTTATTTTTCTCAATACCTTGAATCTCATCATCGATTGCTTTTCTCCACCTATTGTCACGAGCAACATCATTGAAACCTACAAGTTCATATTCAACAAATAAACAAAATAAAATGTGTTCATTGTTAGTATTTTCACTTTGAGCATAAATATCATTCAAACTTCGTGTCTTCGGTGGCCTTTCACTTGAACTTCCATCTATGGAAGAACTTATTGGCCCATATATATCTCTTAATTGTATGGGTGTCTAAGATTATGATAAGATTAGTTAGTAATTATCAATAATTGTTGGCGTTTATCCATAATTGTTACTAGCCGTGTATTTATATGGGGTTTTGTATATTATTTATTGATCAATAAAGAGCTAGCCGTATATTTATACAAAATCTTGTATATTATTTAATAATCAATAAAGAGAGAATTATCTGCAGTATTATGAGTTTCTAACATGGTATTGGAGCCATAGGCTCCTCAACCTCAGATTTGAGCTCGCTCAGATATGAGGTTGTCGAATCTGAGCTCGGCTTCAGATTCGTTCTGACTCTCTGTCAAACAGCTGCACCATTTCTCTCTCTAAAGTGAACTCAACACAAAGTCGGATTTTCTTTATTTAGGCGACCCGTACGGACTCTCAGTCAAACAACTGTACTCTTTCTCTCTCTAATGTGATCTCGCACAAAGTTGAATTTTCTTTATTTAGTTGACTCATACGGATATCTAGTTGCATTATCATCTTCTTCATGCAATTGCAACAACGGACACATATCTGAAGATAGTTATGAGGAACCCAAGCTGCCAGCCAGCAATGATGAAGTGGGAGAGGCCTTGTTCAGTTCAACCTTCCATTCACGAAGCATCTGATGAACTTGCTCCTCCAATACAACATCTTCATTTGCACGACTCTGCTTTCTTGCACACTGGATATCACATGCCCTAAAGATCATTCACTTTAATTTTTGCCTTGTCCTTGAAAACCCTATGAGAAGATAACTTGGAAACACCATTCTTCAACCCCTTACCTATCTAAAGAACACGACCACTCTGTCCCTCTTCTTGATTCAACAACCCAACAGAATCCCATAAACTCTCTCTCTCTAAAAAAGGTCTCTCTCTTTTAGGTTGAACATCCACAAGCATCTTAGGTTGAAGCATGCATGGAAAAGCTTTGTGTATCCCTTAGCCCCGCACCCATATTTCTAACCATACTTTTCATCCCTTATTTTTCTCACCAAAGGATCCAAGGCATCAACGACTACTACATCTATCTTATCCTTAGCAGTCATCACTTGTAATGGATCTTGACCATGCAATTCGATTTTGCTTATTGCACTTTGAAGGATCCAGCACAAAGGAAAATCTGACCCCTGATCTAGGCATTACCATATAAAAGACTCTCCCTTTGCACAAAAACTTCAGCTCTCATCTTCATTCATGGTTGAATCAATCAACATTAGCAGTTTAGTAAAAGAAACTCATAGACCAAGGAAGCACTGCCAAAGGAATACGAGTTGTATTTCGACTCTCTACAAAATAACATTTGTCTCTATCCTGACCTATATTATGGACTATGAGTTGTTAAATCTGTCTCGGACTGCGAGTTACTGAATCTGTCTCGGATCCACACCGAGTTTTGTTGGCTCTTTCAAGTGCCATTTTGTGCTTATTGTTCAAGCAATCTGAGTATGAAAACCATTGCTTCTATTAGTCACGTCATGCACGTGAAGACTTAAAGATCCAACTTGTTTGTTTATGCAACTGATTGTTCAAATTCCAGCTCCTTTGTATCAAAGCATATTGAGTTTGAGGGGGAGTGTTAGCATATGTATATCTGTTGATTGTATGGGTATGTATCTCTTGATAGGATTAGGTGTTTAGGATTATGACAAGATTAGTTAGTAATTATGAATAATTGTTGATGTCTATCCAAAATTGTTGGTGTCTATAACTGTTACTAGCTGTATATTTATACGGGGTCTTGGATATTCTTTATTAATCAATAAAGAGAAAGTTCTCTGCAGTATTCTGAGTTTCTAATAGAGCTGGACGAGCTTGACTTATGTTGAAGAGATGAGGGTGGAACATATTGTTCTTGTAGCCTCTCTTGAACATTGTCATTTCCACACAACTCAATTATTAAATCACCTTTCTCTTCCTCCCTTTTTCTTACTCCCATGAGGCTTATTCATTAAATCCATATTTCTACGTAAAATCAACTGGTTACTTTATATATTGTATAGCTTATAGGCTTTTGATTTCCATCATAACCAATAAAAACACATTTTTGACTTCTATCATCCAATTTGGTTCTCATTTATTATAGAATTTGTGAATAGGAAATCTTCCCAAACACCCTTAATTGTACAACACCAGGCTTATGCCAACTCCAAGCCTCTTGTGAGTCATAAATCGAACACTTTTAGTATGACATCTATTCTAAATATAACCTGGACATGCCACTATTGTGGACCAAAATCCATACAACATGCCTTTCCATTTCCACATGCTTCGAGTCATATCTAAAATTGTTTGATTTTTCTTTTGGCCACACCATATAAAATGGTGTGTAGGATGTAGTCAATTGATGAAGTATTCCATTTTCTTTACAAAAATCTTCAAAATATTTTGACAAAAAATTTGCCACTATGATATGATCTTAAAATTTGATTGTATATCCACTTGTTTTTCAACCAATGCCTTGAAGTTCTTAAAATTTTAAAAAATTTACCACCCTACTATGATCTTAAAATTTGACAGAATATCCACTTATTTTTCAACTAGTACCTTGGAGTTCTTAATAAACATTTCCTAAATGAGTAGTTTTAGTATGACATTGAGATCAACTTTAAGGATCTGCTGTTGAGAACTATTATAAAGCTTCATAATACAAGATCAAAAAGCTTATTGAGAGATTGAAAGTGATCTAACCAAGAACTTGAAGCAAAGTTCAAGGCATTCTATAGATAAAAAGTTTCAATCTGGATCCCCTCGCATTCATAGATAATGTATATTGAACCAATATTAGTTCCATGATCTCATATATGTAATTTTTCTTTTCTTTTGAATAATTTTAGTCATTGTAACCATAGATCAAAGGTATTTCTTTTTTATATGCAAAGATAGAATAACAAAACAAGTTACTTAGGAAATTAGAATTCTTCTAGAACCATTGGGAAGGACTACATGTATTATGGTTAGCCATTATGCTTCATTAAGGGTCATACCTTCAGTGAGGCTATAAGTTCACATATATTTTCTCACTACTTCGAACCATGTCTTTTTGGGCTTACCTCTTATTTTAATAGAAAGCTCTTGATTTTATGCAATCTTGAGTGTCTTTATTCCCTGATTTGTGCACTCTCTGGTTTTGCTTGAATAGAGTCATATATTTCCTCAAAAGTTTCCTTAGTAGACATTTAGGTGAAATACAATCTTGGAGCTCAGGTGCATAAGGTTCATTTGGATTGGCAATATGGATGTCTGAGTGCCATCACTGGGCCAAAGATACCATGAAAGGCCTAACAATTGGCCATATGAAAGCCTTGATGACTAATCATTTAAGAAACCTAGCAAAATAATATTGGAATTACATGAAACTTCAGAGATTATCGTTCTTGGGCATTATGAGCTTGTCATACAAATTTCATAAGGTTTGAGTGCTATTTGATGCATCTTCAAATACGTCATGTACCATAATATGCTTGTATGGCTTGCTTTTTACTCCACAATCTCACAATCTCAAATTGACATGAAACATGTCGAGAGTTTAATCTAAGGTATTATGAGCCAATTATCAAAGTTTCAAATCATTTTGGAGACCCACTTTATAGTGGAGGTCAAGGTCTACATCCACCTCTTGCAGGCACTTTCATCAAACAAGATAACATTCGGGTCGTCAAATCAAATCAAAATTCTCTTAAATAATAGAGAGTTTTCTTATGAAAATTAGAAGGAATATTTCTTACTTAATT